AATTAACTGCCAGCCAAGATGGCGGCCGGTAACCAGGCAGCTTGAAGGGAACATGAGGCTTGCTTGCTTCAGTGACGGAGGACTCCATCGTTCCCCGCCTGCCGCTGCCGGCCTCTGAGATTGCAGTTTGAAACATTGTTACAAATATAGAAGCTAAACAAAACCCCAGAAACCTGCTTTCAGCCCGCGCGGATCTCAGAGCTGGAGTTGAAACAGTGTTCCGATTATAGAACCCAAACAAACCAGATACCTGCTTTCAGCAGCAGAGGCCTAAGGGCTGGCGCCAAGCCTCAGAGCTAAAGCTGGCCCAGAATAAAAAAAAAAAAAAAAAGAAAAAAAGGAGCAGTTGGGAGCTTCAGTCAACCGCCAGCCTGAAAACAGCCCTCAGCCCCTCACCCAGACTGGCCAGGCACCCCAGTGGGGACCCCCACCCTGAAGGGTGTGTGACCAGCTGCAAACAGCCATCATCCCCTCACCCAGGCTGGCCAGGCACCCTAGTGGGGACCCCCACCCTGATCCAGGACACCCTTCAGGGCAAACCAGCCAGCACCCACCCGTGCACCAGGCCTCTACCCTATATAGTAAAAGGGTAATATGCTTCCCAGCACCAGGATCAGCGGAGCCGCGAGGCCTCCCAGCACCGGGATCAGCATGACAGGGGGCAGCGCCCAAACCCCCTGATCGCCCTGCGGCTCTGTGTGTGACAGGGGGCAGGGCCACAACCTCCCTATCCACCCTGCTCTGTGAGTGACAGGGGAAGGCGCCCCAATCCCCTGATCAGCCCTGCTCTGTGCCTGATAAGGGGGAGCTCCCCAACCCCCTGATCGCCCTGCGGCTGTGTGTGTGACAGGGTGGAGCGCCCCAAACCCCCACCCCCACGGGCCCTGCTCTGTGTGTGACAAGGTAGAGCCATAACCTCCCCATCGGCCCTGCCCTGAGTGTGAGAGTGACGGCGCCCCAACCCCCTGCTCTGTGCATGACAGGGGGCAGCTCCCCAACCCCCTGATGGGCCCTGTTCTGTGCATGACAGGGGGCAGCGCCCCAACCCCGATTGGCCCTGCTCTGTGCGTGACAGGGTACAGAGCCCCAACCCCCCTGATGGACCCTGCTCTGTGAGTGACAGGGGGCAGTGCCCCAAACCCCTGATTGGCCCTGCTCTGTGCGTGACAGGGGGTGGCGCCGCAACCTCCCCATCGACCCTGCCTTGAGTGTGACAGGGGATGGTGCCCCAACCCCCCAATCGGCCCTACCCTGAGCGTGACTGAGGGTGGCATCACAACCTCCCAATTGCCCTGCTCTGTGCGGCGCCCCAACTCCCCAATCAGCCCTGCTCTGAGCCCAACCAGGGGCTGCTCCTAGGGATTGGGCCTGCCCTCTGCCACCCGGGAGCAGGCCTAAGCCAGCAGGTCGTTATCTCCCAAGGGGTCCCAGACTGCGAGAGGGCACAGGCCGGACTGAGGGACCCCCCTCCCCCCCGAGTGCACAAATTTTTGTGCACCGAGCCTCTAGTCTATATATAAAAGCCTAATGTGCTAATTGTCCATCTGACCATTTGACCAGTCGCTATGACACGCACTGACCACCAGGGGGCAGACGCTCCAACCAGTAGGTTAGGTTGCTGCAGGGATCCGGCTGATGGGGACAGGCGAGATGGGCCAGACACGGCCTGGGTGAATCCATGCACCAGGCCTGTTTTGCCCAATCTCTGCAGACCAGGCTGAGGCACCCCATGGGTGCACGGCCAGGCCTCTAGTGTTATTATAAGATTGCTCAGGCAGTGATGTTTTAGAAAGGCCGAATGAGAGATTCTGAAAGTCGGCAGGCTATTTATTGAGAACTCGTGTTTGAGGCCCCACAGGTCAGGAGACGAAACCAGTCCCCACTTTTGAGGAGCTCACAACATACTGGGAGAGAGAAAAATGTAAGGGAGTAGCTGTGATGACACAGGTATACTGTCAACACACCTGGGGTAAAGTTTGTTGGGAGGGAGGCGGCTAACGTGGTTTGAAAAGGAAGACAGAAGTCAAGGGAGGACACACAGCCAGTCAGCCTGGCTCTGCAGACTCACCTGATGAGGCAGCTCCAGGGGGAGGGAGAGAACTTCAAAAGGTAAGGTAATTGGTTGGAAAAGCCTATCAAGATTATGAACCAAGACCTGGCCGGTTGCTCAGTGGTTAGAGTGCTGGCCTGCAGACTGAGGGGTCGGGGTTCAATTCTGGTCAAGGACACTAACCAGTCTGAAAAACAAAAGTACTTGGGTATTTGAGGAAAGAGAAACAGACACCTATTTGCCAGACCCGGGCTAGACTCTTTCACCTATTTCAACTGTGTCTCCAGACCTAACCATGTCCAACTATGCTCAGGGGTACTTTGCTGATTACCCAGAGTGGGACAGCTCTGTGGCCGAGGCGGCGGGAGCTCGGATGAACAGCGGTTTTACAGTGTGTGCAGTGTAAGTGGTGAGGTTAAAGGAGAGGAGGGCAGAAGGAAGAAGATAGAAAGGAATGCAGGAACTATCTGCAAGAATTTCTCCAGAGACTTGATAAATCAGAAAATCGGGTCCACCTCTCACCCAGCTTTCTCTTCCACAAATAAAGGAATAACACTTTAAAAAGCAAAGCGTAGGCCTTGGCCGATGTGGCTCAGGTGGCTGGTGTCATTCCAATTCCCCGTCAGGGCACATGCCCAGGTTGTAGGCTTGATCCAATGTCTGGCTCTCACAATTGATGTTTCTCTCTCTCTACCTCTTCCTCTCTCTCTAAAAAAAAAAAACCTTCCAAACTGAATTCAAAACTCTTCCCTTAATATATTTAAAAGGATACACAGCAGATGATCACCATGCAAGAGGGAAGCTATACACCTGCTCTATAGTGTTGAATTTTGCTTCAGTAAACATTTTCATTGTTTTAACAACTAATATTTTGTTAAATCCAGTGTGGGATCGGAGAGCAGCGTTGATAAAAAGTGGGACTTGACCCTGGCTGGGTGGCTCAACTGGTTGGAGTGTTGTCCCACATACCAAAAAGGTTTTGGGTTCGATTCCCAGTCAGGGCACATACCTGGGTTGTGGGTTGGATCCCTGGTCAGGGCACATATGGAAGGCAACCAATTGATGTTTTTTTCTCTCTCAAATCAATAAACATATCCACTGGTGAGGATTAAAAAAAACCACACATACACACACACAAAACACCTGGGACCTGTTTTTGGTGGCACCTGTATGTGTTGGATACTTCTGTGGGATGGCATCCCTCCCTCCACCCAGCTGCTGGTACCGGGGACCTGAAGGTCTAGAGCAGCGGTTTTCAACTGATGGACACATCAGCCATTGAGATCCTACAGCACACCTAATATATCCTACTTTTTGCCGATCTGATAAAAAAAGTATAATTTTGATTCATTCACACCAGACAGCTATTGTTGTGTTGGCTGTTGTCATTTTTTTATTTGACATCTAAAAGAGGTCAGTGCCCTAACTAGTCAGGTACTGCATGTGTTAACATTCTCGCGGCACCCGGTTGAAAATAGCTGGTCTAGAGCAAGGGTAGGCAAACTTCCTAGAAAGAACTAGATAGTAAAAATTTTAGGTTTCGAAGGACACATTGTTTGTTACAACCATTCTGCTGTTTTTGTACAAAAGCAGCCACAGACAATATCTGAGTGAATGGCCAGGGCAGGGAGGCCGTGGGGCTGAGTTCTCTCCTGACTGCAGAGTGCAATCACTTGGGGGGGCTCACCTGGGGGCTGCAGGCCCCACCTCCGAGATTCCAAATCTAGGACTGGGGCCCAAGCTTCTCCCCCTAGCTCTTAGGTGATTGTGATGTGCATTCTGGACTGAAAACAAGTGTTCTAGAAAGAAAACTGTAGTCTTAGGAAATTGCTGGAGGTGGGGTAAGGGTGGAGGGGGTGGGGGTGAGGGTGGAGGGCTTGGAGAGGCGGCGAACACTGAAGGATGACCCAGGGCTGAACGGAGGTCTAAAGATTAGAACTGTTTTCAATAGAACTGAAAAGTAAATGCGCCCGATGCTTAGATTAAATGCTCTTTATTTGGTGCTTTCGCGCGCGCAGCACTACAAGGCCTGGCCCTGCCCTCCCAGAGGAGCTCGGGCGGACCGCCACCTGCCCCGCCCCGGGTCTGGAGCCGCTCCCGGCAGGCCGGGCGGAGCGGCGAGCCCGGCGGAGGGGGCGGGGTGAGCACCGGCGGAGGGGGCGGGGTGAGCCCGGCGGAGGGGGCGGGGTGAGCCCGGCGGAGGGGGCGGGGTGAGCCCGGCGGAGGGGGCGGGGTGAGCACCGGCGGAGGGGGCGGGGTGAGCCCGGCGGAGGGGGCGGGGTGAGCACCGGCGGAGGGGGCGGGGTGAGCACCGGCGGAGGGGGCGGGGTGAGCACCGGCGGAGGGGGCGGGAACTCAGGACCCCGCACTGGGCCTCCCGCGCCTCTTAGCCGAGACCCCCTGGGTCCACAACCCGCGGGCGCCCTTGCAAGTCCCGTACCTGGGTGTGGAGCGCCCCGGGGACGGTTCCCGCGGCCGCCTCCCCCGAGACCTCACGTCGACAAGCCGGGCCCGGCCCTCGGCCAGGAGCGAGCGGGGCTCGGGGAGCGAGACTGTGGGCGCAGCGGTGGGGGGGCCGGGCCCCGCGCGCCCCTCCCCCTTCTCCTCCTCCCCGCACGAGACGCCTCTCCGGGCCCCGAGCGCCCCAGGAGCCAGGAGGGCACGACGCGGCCCCCCGACGCCCGATACCTGCGGCCATGGCGCGCGCCTGGCCAGCCCGCAGCGCCCCTTCCGCTCTCCAGGAGCCGACCGGAACCGGAAGCGAGGCGCCGCCTCCCGTCCCGCCCCCGGGCACCTGCCCTAGAAACCCGCGGGTCTGGCCCAGGTCTGAGCTGGACTCCTAAGCCAGCCGCAGCACCCACCCCAGTCCCCGCCCAGGCCTCACTGGTCAAGGCGCAGCGTGTCCCTCCCTTCCGCCCTGGGGCCCACAAAAGGACAAACAGGAGTCGACTGCGGCTCTGAACATTTTATGTTTGGAAAAAAAGGGGGGAACCGTCCCCACAAGGGGCAAGACCCACGAGGGCCCCGCCTATGGTTCTCCCCCGGACGTCTGCGTCAGTCTCAGCTGCTGCCCAACCTTCTTCGGCAGCGGCCACTGCTCCTCCCCCGCGTCTTGCTGAAGCCCGTCCCCTGGCGTCCTCTGGTGCACCCCGAGCTCCGGGGAAGGGGGCACCGAAAGCCCCGGGTCCCGGGCAGCCAGGCGTCACATCAGCAGGCAGCAGGCAGGCACGCCCACTGGGTGTGTCCAGCATCTGCACGGACACCGAGTGTGCACCAGGCTGTCAGCCAGTGCTTGTCCGTGTTTCACACCCTGCAGGCTGCTGCCCGACACACCCTCTGAACCTCCCAGTCTCGTGCCAGAAACGGGCAGGGAAGGAACGGCACGGGGACCCTGCTGCTCCAGGCTTCCTGCCGCTCCAGCACAGGGACCCAAGTCAGCTGCTGTCATTCTTGATGACCACCTCCACCCCATGGTGCCGCAGCTGGGCGCGGAGCAGCAGGTTCTTGTTCTTGAGGTCTTCCACCTGACAGGAGAAGGAGGCATAAAGGGAACAGGAAGTCCCTGAACTTATTCCGACATCGGTTGGTGAAGGGGAAAAGACGAAGCCTGTCTATGGAAAATGAAGGGTAGAGTCCCAACAGGGCTCAGTGGCTTCGGGGTCCGAGAGGGCTCACTGGGACAGGAAGCTGACCTGCTGGCGAAGCACTTCGTTGTCCAGCTGCAGCTGGTCCAGCCCTTGCAGCTCCTCAGACAACCGGTGATTGCTCTGCCGCAGCTCCTGGATGTAATCGCAGGCTTTGGAGAGAATCCCCCCTTTACTCTGCAGGAAAGACCAACACAACGAGGGCTGGACTACACGATACCCGCTTGCTTTCCAAAGCAGTTCACTCTCTCGGCCTTACTTTCCCCCAAGAACCCTCAGAAGAAAGGGTGACTGCTGTGTGCAGCCCCGGGACACAGGCGCCTGCCGCCCAGGCCCCTGACCTGGCCTGACTTCGTGCTCTCCATGGAGCAGTCTGGAATGATCTTGGACAGCTGCACGATCCAGTTGTTGATCTTGTCCCGGCGGCGCCGCTCCACTGTGGGAACAGTGAGGACAAGGTCTCTCAGCCTGCGCTCGACACAGGCCCAGGAAGTTAGCTGACTTTCCCCTCACACACCACAGCTGTCTGCAATCCCACCAGACAGCTCCTAGCGTCGCCCCCAAGCGCACCCACCTTCATTATGCTGAGCCCTGCGTTTTTCATCCCGCGTCGTCCGGGGAGCTTCTGACTTCCTGACCATGGAGCCGAGGGCAGCCAAGTGATGAAGGTCAAAAAGTCAGATTGGCACTTGGGGTAGGAATCTCACCAGATCTGGCACTTGTGGTAACTGAGAAGGAACAGGGTTACTCACGGGGAGTAAGGGTGGGTCCTGGGGGCAATGGAGCGCTGGCTTCCTCCCGGCAGCACTTCCTGTGGTGACATCATCACGAAGAACTGACCTGGGAGGGTTCGCGTAGGTCGTTGTTAGCACATGGGATTAGGAACCTCAGCGAGCTCCGAGGCCAAGGCCCTGGGACTCTCCTCTAAAAACGGCAAATTTCTGTCAGCCAGTGTGGCTCAGTGGTTGAGTGTTAATCTATAAACCATGAGATCAGTTTGATTCCAGGTCAGGGCACATGCCTGGGTTTTGGGTTTAATCCCCAGGAGGAGGGGGTATGCAGGAGGCAGCCAGTCAATGATTCTCTCTCATCATTGATATGTCTCTCTTCTGTCTCTCTCCCTCTCCCTTCCTCTCTGAAATCAATAAAAATATATTTTTAAATAGTAAGTAAAAATAAAAAGGGCAGAAAAAGACAATAAACAAACAAATAATGAAAAGGGACAAACTTCCTCCTGCTGAGCAGGGTCCCACATTCCCTGCCTGCCTCGCCCTCAGGGACCACTGCCCAGCATGTCCCACCGCCCATCCTACCCTGCAACCAGCCCCTCACACAGCATCTCACCGGTGCCAGGAGGGGTGGCCTGTCCCAGCAGTGCCTCCGAGCCCTGGGTGGTGACAACAGCGGCTGCACTCCCTGCCGTGGTCCCTGCCGCCCCGTCGCCCACAGCAGTGCCAGGGAAGTAAGCGTAGTGTGTCTCAGCGGCCGTCCCCTCTGTGTCAACTGCATCGTCACTGGTGAACGCACCCTGGATCACCGCCTAGAAGGACACCAAGAGGACAGAGTCCAGTGACCATCAGATCCTCCCCAGGGAACTCTCTGCTGCTGCTAACCCTGAGGGAAGGGGGGAGGGTCCAGAGTGTCTGGGGACAGGGAGCAAGATGCTTCGCCACCCCTGGCCTCCCCATCCCACTCCTTCCCTGCCTCACCTCCCTCTGCAGAGTTCTAGTCCCCCCTCCCCTCCCGTACCTGGGTCATGGACTGAGTAGCAGGGTAGCCACTGATGGCACCAGTCCCCTCGGTTTGGCCATCCAGCTGCCCTTCAGACACCTGGATCACCCTGTACATCACCTAGAAGCAGGGAGGAAAGGGGAAGGAGGAGAAGAGAGGACAAGAGAATAAGTGCTAGGGCTCCAGGGCCCCTCGCAAAGTTTCTCCTAGACAGGGCCCCAAGAGTCCTTCAGAGCCGCAACCCAGCCGCTCCCCTGTCTATCCCCATATGGAGGTTTCAAAATGGCCCTACTCCATACCTACCTCTATTCCAAATCCAACCCCCCAACAGTCCACATCTTCACCTCATCCTCCAAGCCAGGTCTCCACATGACAGGCTCAGTTACCTCCCTCTATCCCAACCCAGGTAACACCTGCAGCCACCTGGCCCCCTCCTTTACCTGGCCCCCATTCTCAGTTCGGAAGACGTACTTGACGTTGGGGTCAGGGAAGGTGGCAGATGACTGGATGCTGGCAATAGCCACACTGGTTGGGTCCTCCCCAGTTGCCACTGCACCTGAGTTCAAGGAGCAAGGAAGACTCTAAGTGCTGCTGCCTTCCTCCCCATTTCACTTGCCTGTCGTCAGAGGAAAAGGTGCACAGGCGCCACAGGGGAGGGAAAGGCCATGATGGGCTCTTGGTCCCACTCACTTCTTTCTGCCACTCACCTTCCTGGATCTGCACTGTCCCCTCTTCCGTCTCAGCTGTTTTCTGCTGCCTGTTTGTGAAGGGACAAAGGGTTAGGATAAGGGAAGAAGAGCATGGAAAGCTCACTGGCTCGGGAACACATGGGCCGAAACTCACTGGCATTCCCAACGGACACTAGGCTAGGTTGGAATTTGCTGTTTCTTATGTATAGACACTGAGCAGGCAGCACCCATCTCATGCTAAGAACAGCACTACGAGGCGGGCAGCAGTGCTGGCGTTTTACAGACAGGAAACCAAATCACACACAGCCAGCAAGTGATTCAGGAGCTGGGACCTGAATCGAGGTCTGCCTGACTCCAGAGGCAGCACCTTCTCCCAGGCCTCCCATCTCCCACCCCACACTCCACCTCGTCTTCACTCACCCCTTCATCTCTCTGTGAGGCGGCACATCCAAGGAACGGGCCCTTCTTTGGAAGTCTTCGTATCTCCTGCCTCACTGGCCTGAGTGATAAGTCCTGGCAGAAATCAGGAGTTTGCAGTGACTCTAGGAAACTGAACAGCCCCCATATGAAAACTTAGGCTCCATGAAGACACAGCCAGAAACATAACCCCATTTCTGCAGGGACAGTCGGCTTCCTCTATCCTGATGCTGAGGAATGGGCGGCAAGTGACTGAAAAAGCAGCTGCACTAGCAGCCTCCCTGCCTCCCGGCACTTCACTCCTGGGGGCGGGAACAATCACAGGCAGCGTGGCAGGTGAGGATCACAGCACTGTGATCTGCAACGACCTGGGGATCAGGAAGAGCCAAGAGAACACTATCTTCACACCCACAGGGCTGCCTGCCTGTGGGGCTCGCTCCACGGCTGACCCTGGAACCAAAAGGTCGCCGGGTTCATTCCTGTTCAGGGCACAGGCCCAGGTTGCAGGCTGGGTCCCCAGGTGGGGGTGTGTAGGAGGCAGCCAATCGATGATGTTCCTCTCATCGATGTTTCTATTTCTCTATTCCTCTCTCTCTAAAAAAAATCAATAAAAACATATTTTAAAAAGACACAAACAAAACCACAGGACCACTGACACTGATGCCTCTTCCAGCTGCTCAGCCACCACCGAGCTGAGTGCCAACAACTTTTTGTTCTCAGATTCAGGAGGGGAACCAGAAGCCACTGCCCTGGGAGAACGCTCCAAACGAACCCTAAATACCAGACCTGGCCTTTGAGACCCGTTAGGCTGACAGGCCCTTGTTTTGGTGTCCAGATTTGTGTTGTTTGTTGAAGACCCAAAAGCACAAGTGCATCCCTTTAAAGCCCCGATGTATCCTCTCCAACCCCATGTGTCTCATTCACGAAGCTAGAACGACACAGTTGCCAAAATGTTGCCACGACACCTCCACATCCAAGGAGCCTGGGCAGGAAGGGAGAAAGCTCCAGGCCAGGATCTTAGGGAAGAGACACCCGAGGGGCCTGCCGCGGGCCAGACACGCAGCCGGGGGCCAGGAAACCGCGCGCTGAGCAATGAAATCATCCCGGCGCGAAAGGGGAAACTTTGGTAAATTCTCTACCCAATAGTCCCCCAAACCTTTCCCATCCAAGGAGAGTCTTCAGCGACGAGCCTTGGAAAGCCCGGATGCAAGGAAAGTGTTCAAAAAACGGGAACTGAAAGCGAAACCGTCGGGGGGGAAGCAGCGCTGCGCGAAGGTCGTGGTCCCCTCGGGGAATCGCGCGGCGGCGGGACCACCCACCTGCCCGCCCCGAGCCCGCGCGGCCAGTGCCCCCGGCGCCAGGCGGGCGCGGGACGAGGTGGTGGAGGCAGCAGCGAGGACGGCGTCGGAGGCCCCGCCGCGGTCACCGCGCTCAGCGGGCGTCCGGAAGCATTTCCCGGGCGCGCGGAGGGCGCGACGCGGGGACCGGGCCGGCGGCGGCGCGCACGCTCGGCGGGGAGGCCCGCAGGGCGGTGCTCGGAGGGTACAAAGGGACGACGACAGAGCTGGGGGCCCCGGCACCCAGCCACGCCGGGGGGCGCCGCCCGCAGCCCCCAAAGCACCGCAGGCGCGGCGCTTGGCCCGGCGCGGAGGCGGGACGTGCGGGCCGGAGATAAAGAGCCAGGCGCGGCCCCGCCCCAAACAAAGGCTTCCTCCCGGGACTTCCCCGGCCCGAGCGACAGATGAGCAGTCTCGGCTGCCCTTCCTGCCGGCGCGGCCCGGCTCCGGCCCCGGCCCGTCCGGCACTCACCCACCTCAGCCGCCGACTCTCCGGGACAGGGATCCTCCGTCTTGGGGGCTCCATGGACAGCCGCGCATGCGCGCCCGGCCGGCAGCCATGCTGGTGCGGGGCGGAAGTGGCCTCGCCCCTCCCCGTCCGCCCCGCCTCTAAGCGTCTCACTTCCGCTCGCTCCACCTTGATGAGGGTTGAAAGGTGCGACTCCCGGGGATCCCAGAAGCACGACGCTGAAAGCCTAGGCGCTTCAGCAGGACGGGAGGAATACGATTAACTCGTTCGGCCTCTTCCTGATGGATGGGGCCTTCCTATTTAGTTCCAGGGAAGGGGGGGGGAAACGTCGATCGGCGGCGCCATCTTTGATAAGGGCTTCAGGACCCCTCCCTGGAGCGTTTCCGGGGGGCGCCTCCCTCGGGCGCACTTCCGCCGGCTGCGCACCTTTGTATTAGCGTCCCAGGCGCTCGCTCGGGACCCGAGGCTTCCACCACGAGAGGGACCCCGACCCCCCTCGGCAGTCAGCACTGCCTGCGTGAACTCGGGGAGCGCGATGTGGGGCCGAGGGGAGCAGTCCAGACTCGGGTCGCAGACCTGCCTCTGAGACCCCGGCAGTCGGGGGCCTCGTTAGCCTTGGTTTCCTCGGCTGTGAATGCGGAGCCCAGCCGCACAGAGCTAACTGGCAGGGGAAGGAGCAGCATAAAGGACGGAGGACACCCGCCCCTGCGGGCAGTGACGCCAATGTCAGTTTCTCTTCCCCTTTCCTGACGCCCGAGCCCAGCTCGTTTCCTGCCGCAGGTCTCCATGGCAACGACCGAGCCCGAGCAGCCCAAAGGCAAGGATTGGCCCGACATGAAATTATGTGACCTGTCACCCAAGACTTGAGTAAGAATCATGAAACTGCACACTCCACATGTGAAAACACAGCTTTTATTCTAAAACACGGGCCCTTGTGAGAATGGAGACGCGGGCCAGGGTCTGAGTGACGCCGTTCCCTTCCCTGAAAGAGGAGGAAGTTGTTTCAAAGGAAAAGGCCCAGCGATCGGCAGGAGGCCGCTCTTCCTTCAGCGCGGAGGCCGGCGGTGCAGGGGCTGGCGGAGCCGGAGCCGGACCCGCCCACCGACACTGAGGTCCCAGGCGCTTCCGGCTGGTTCTGACCTGGGCCGGCGGGCCAGGCGGGCCACCGGGTGGAGAACGGCCCCGGGACCGGACAGCCCCAGAGTGCGCGCCAGGCGCCGCCCGGCCTGCCCTCCCCGCCTGCACTCGGCCCTTGGGAAGCCGCTGGGGTGCCTGCCCACCCTCCGGCCATGGCCTCACTCCCTAGGAACAGGCTCTTGGTGACTTTCCTGGGAAGCTCCTAAGGGAGAGGTGCTTGGTGTCGGAGACAAGCGCAGGCAAACCCACCAGACTGCCCCCCACAGTCCCAGAGGAGTCGGGGGGCCAGAGCCTAAAGAGTGGGGGCCACCGCTGCTCAGGCTGGGGAGACAGCTAGTCAGGTCCCCAGAGACTGAAGACAACTTTCTGGCCCCTGCGCCCAGTGCTCTGGTGCTAATCATGGTCCCTCACTCGTCCAGGGTCAGCCTGTGTTTCAAACGCATAGGATCGGCGCTGTGGGGGCGAAAGAGGCTGAGGAGCCTGGGGCTCTCGGGGGGGCAGACTAAACCGACTCCGGGGTTCAGACCCTCCTGTGCCTTCGGGTGGGAGCTCTAGGCAACTGAGGGGCCGCGGGGAATGGGCAGGGATCATGCTACAGGGAGAGGTTCCGGGGATGAGGCTGTAGTCCTCGCTCCCGGGACAGGTCTGGGTCCGCCACACCCCCAGCGCCTCGGTTCTCTGGCGGTCCCTGGCCAGGGCCACGGCAGCATCAAAGGAAAGACTGCCTCCGTTCCTCCAAGAGGAGCGGGAGGCCCGGGACCCCCGGGCCCTTTCCCCAGGAGTCCCATCCAGCCGGCCAGGCCTTGGGCATGGGTTTGCAGGTGCCACATGGATCTTGCTACACATTACACTGGGCATCTTGGCAAACTGTGGCTTAGGGGGCACCACCGGCACAGAGCGGACCTGTTGGACCTGAACCAGGGTGGAGGCCAGGCGCATGCCCACGCTGCCAGCTGAGCTAAGGGGACAGGGGCACAGATGGCAGCCCTCTGGACTGGGCTGCCCCTCAGGCTCCATCTCCTCTGGCCAGGGTGGCTGTGGGGCTGCCTGTTGGGTCTCAGAGGCCTGGGCACTGCCCTCTTTGGCATTGTCAACCTCTAGGGACACTGCATGCAGCCCTGGGAGGAGGAAGCCCCCCTCTCGATGGCCTCCTCCAGCCCTCTGCTCTCCCTCCGCCTCTCCATCCCCGCTCTCCCGCTCCCTGCTGGCCTCCGCTGCTCCTCCTTCGGCTGCTTCTGCGCTGTCTTCACCATCTCCTTGGTCTGCTCTGGCTTCTCGGTCTCTGTTCTCCCTCTGCCCTCTGACTTTACCCTCATTCTCTCTGCCTTCCTCGGCCACTGGTGTGTGGACAGCTTCCCAGCTCTCCCCAGCAGCTGGCACCTCCTGGGCCCCCTGCTCCAGGTCCCTTCCAGCTTCCGCCTGAGCTTCCTCTCCTTCCTCAGCCTCTTCCTGTCTTTCAGTCTTTGTTCTCTTGTCTTTACCTGGCTCTCCTGTTCGCTCCACACCCTTCGCTGCCTCCATGCTCTCACCCTCCTGCCAACCTCCGGACTCTTCCTTGGCCTCTGTCTCCCCCCCACTTTCTTCCCTCAAATTGACCACCCTCTCTGGGCCCCCCTCAGCCTCCCCGCCTTCTCCTGCCTCTCCAGCCTCCGCCTTGTTCTCTGGGCTCCCCTCAGCCTCCTCTCTGATGTGCCCTCTGCTGCCATGCTCCGTCTCCTTGTCCTCCTCAACTTCCCAGCATGCCTGCACCCGCTCAGCCTGTCCCAGAGCCTCCAGGCTGCGCGGCCCCTCCCCGGCCGGGGGCTGGGGCCCCAGAAGAGGACTGAGCTCATCATAGGCACTCAGGAAGACTTCCTCCCCGGGGTCCTCCTCTGCCTCGGGCCCAGGCCCCGGGGAGTCCGGGGAACAGCAGCTGGGAGCCAGGACAAACTGCACCTCATCCAGAGACAGGTCATCCAGGGGCGGCTCCACGGAGAACTCCTCCACCTGTGGGCCAGCAGTGGCTCAGGGCCTGGGGTCCTGCCTGCCGTCTGGACCCCTCCCGACCCCAACCCAGAAGGCTCCTCCTTACCTGAGGCCCCGCTCTCAGCAGCTCCTCCAGGTAGCCCATCCCAGGGTCGTCCTCCCCAGGGGAGAAGGCTGCTCCTGCTCCTGCTGCACCTGCTGCTCCTGCCTTGGCCGCCTCCCCTTCCTCCGCCCCCACCCACTCAGGCTCTGAGCTGCTGGAGTCCTCCAGGAAGGAGAAGGAGTCTTGCACCTCCTGGGACAGGCAGTCCTCCAGGGCAGGGGCCAAGGCTGCTGGGCTGGAGTCAGCCAGGGGACCTGGGGCTGGACTTGCCTCGGACTTCTCATCTGTTAGAAGAGAGGTAGCCCCAGGAACACAAAGGTCACGGCCAGCCCTGACCCTCTCCAAGGCGGCCTTTCCAGCTTTGCTACGGGGGCCCACACTCCCAGCCCAGACCCCCACGTGGCTATCCTTTCAGACCAATATTCCAAACTCTTGGCTTACAGCCGCCTGCGCTGAGCTCCTACCAGGTGCCCGGCACCGTGCGATTCACCTTTCCCCACAGGGCACCTCATCGCAGGGCCTGGTCGCCCTTTACACGTGAGGAGCCGGAGACTCGGGGAGGAACAGGTGGCCCAGGCCACACAGGTGGCAGACACATTTGGTCCCACGCGGACTCCACAGCCATGGCCGGAGCCCCTGCCTGATGCTGCGCCCTTCTTGTGGGTGACACTGCGGAACGAGTTCCAAGCAGAGCTCAGACCAGCTCTGCCGCCGGACCTGAAGCAGTGCCGGGCTCCGCTAAGCTGCCGCCATGGCGCCCGCGAGGCCAGCGAGGCCTGGTCACAGCAAGCGAGAGGTGGACCGCGCGGGCGCCACGGTGCCCTCCGCACAGCCCTTGGCACGCAGCGACCCCCAGGAGGCGTCAGCTGCCCGCCAGTGCTGATGCAGTGGCTCAGTGCTACCTGTCCTTCGCCCCGCCTGTGTCTGACCCAGGCCCCACCCTCGGGTGTGGGAGGGGTCCTCATACCAGAGATTTCAAGTGAATGACTGGATTCCCCCCACCTTGAAGCGGGGGCAAGAGAAGGTGACCACCTGAAGCCCAAGGCCTGAGGCCTCTGCCCGCTCCCCTCCCGCCCCCCGCCCCCACCCCAGCATCAGAGCTTCAGCTGGAGGGTCTAGTCCCCACTCCCTGTCCCAGGTCCTCACCTGGGGGGCCGGGGCCCGGGCAGGGGCCAGAGGCGGGACTTGGCCGGGGCTGTAGGGCAGGGCACTCCAGGCCGCGGGTGAGCCTGGCCAAGGAGACGTTAGAGATGATGTTTGGAGGCACGTTGAGGATAGAGGTGATGTGTAGTGGGAGGTTGACGTTGTACGGGTCTGAGATGTGGACGCCGGCGCAGCGCTCAGCCCGGCTGCCGCCCCCAGCACGGGCCGCTGACCGCCCGGGGCGCGGCGTTCCTGGCTCGGAGTTGGTGCTGCCCAGGGCCCCTGCCTCGGGCTCTGGTTCACCCTCTGCTGCCTCCGCAGAATCATCCTCCAAGCTCTCAGGCACCAGGGGGCTTGGCCGGGGGCTGCTGGGCGGCAGGAGCGCCTCTGGCTCTACAAGAGAGAGGGCAGCAGCCTCAGCGGCCGGACGGCACCAGGACTCTCCAGCCCAGCACAGCGCCTCCCTGCATCCTGGAGCCTCGGGGGACCATCTGCAGGCACCGTGCCCCCATCCCCTGGCCACGACCACCAACCTCCCACGGCCAGCAGGTCACAGGTCACCCCCACACGCCACGGCGTCTGCATGTGCTCATGTGAACACACCATGGAACAAGACAAACCCCTATAAACCTGGCGGCCAGCATTGTGGCTGGCATTCAATATTACACATTTTTGTGATGTAGAAATAGTACCTGTTGAAATGAGTGAGCAGCACACACACACACACACACACAGTGGTCTTAGTCATACACTGTTATTCCCTTGCAGACACCCTCACAGGCCCATGGCAACAGCTCAGCCCACACCCCCACGGGGCCCACGGCACTCACCGTCACTGGCCCCGGCCACAGCGCTCAGGGAGTCCATGCTCTTGGCTGGCCGCAGGGTCCCCTTGTCAGATTTGTCCTCTGCAAGACAGGGGGGTGTCAGGCCTGGGCCGGGCACTCCCACACCAGAGCGCCCCCCACCTCGCCCCAAACTTACCCCTGTCCTCAGCCCCCCGTGGGAATTTCCGCTTGGTCTCATGGCCAGAGCGACCCAGATTGAAGATAGATCTCCACTTCCTGACCTTCAAAGACCCTTTCCTCCTGGAGGGAACGGAGAGGTCACTGGGGTGGGCCTGCGGGTCAGCGCGGGAGGAGGGCGGGAGGGAGCCTTACTTGTGCTCTGTGATCTCAATGATGGTGTGATAGGGCCGGAGCTGGGGGGGGCCGTCGCCAGCCTGCAGGACGCTAGGCAGGTGGTAGGGCAGCGACCTGGGCATCAGGTCCTCGGGGCTGCTCGATGCCCGGAGCCCTGGAAGGGACCGCCATCCACTCTCCAGCTCCCCACCTGGGAAAGGAGGGGAGCCGTCACCAAGAACAGAAGTGAGGGCTCCGGGCACCCAGGGCCATCACATCTGCCCGCTCACCAGCTAGGGGTGGACCTGGAGGCCCCTGGTCTAGCTCCTCGGCGGGGTGAGTCCCAGGGACAAAGGGGCCAGAGATCCCGGGACACTGGCCTGTGTGTGTGTGTGGGGGGGGGGTCAACGAGCAGCCATTAGTCTTGAGAGCCAGGTGGTGGCATGGAGGGCAGGAGCGGCCTGCGCGCGCCCTGCTGTGCCTGCCATCTCCCGGCCTTCGCCATGAGGCCGTCAGCACCATCTCCCTGAGACTCAGTTTTCTCATCTGCAAAATGGGAGACTGGCCCGGACGACCTCCGAGGCCCCTGCAGCTCCGCCGGGACTCCCCAGGCAGTGGTGACAGGCTGGGCCGGAGACACTCACCGGAGAGGGCAGCGCCCCCAAAGAGCCGGTCCACGTGCGTGAGGATGAACTCCACCACGATGGACTGCACGCGCACCTCCATGAAGGCTGCCGTCCCATTGAAGCCCGAGGCCTCGATGTCCTTGGACCTGCGCGGAGGGGAGTGACTCTCACCCCGATGGGGCGGGGATGCCTTCCCTGGATTCTCCCTGAAGGTCCCTCACACCTGTGCCCTGCGCCCTCAGCCCCTCTCCACCTCCTCACCACACAGGGCTCCAGGCTCAAAGCCACTTCCTCCAGGAAGCCCGCGGCACCCTCCGAGCGCATCCCTGCTTCCCGCGCCCACCGGGGGCCTGTGTGCCATCTGTTATAAGCTCTATCGAGACTTGCCCCCAGGATGCGCGACCTCCTCCCCGCAGGCGCGCTGCCAGGCCTGTGCTCCAGGCCCAGGGGACGCAAGACATTGGCCCAAAACCCACTGGACCAGGCCCTGAGTGTGAGCTCAGAGAGGCGTCAAGGGCTGAGCCGCATCCCACTCAGTGCAACGCTGAATCTTTCTGTGCTTCATGGTCTCGGGAGACCCCCATCCCCTCTCCGGCCACCCGCACAGCCCCCGCCTGTGCTGCCCGCAGGGCTTGGCACTGATCACACGAGCACGCACCTCAGCAGGTTGGGGGCCCACACGATGGCCAGGTTGCGGGCGTGCATGTTGGTCTGGGCACTGAATGAGGCCATGTGCACCAAGTGGCGCATGAGGAACTCCAGGGTCCTGCAGAGGGGGGCCGGGGGCCAGGGGTTAGAGGTCAGGGGCAGGCGTAGGACTGGCCCAGGAGCTGGGAGAGACAGGTCTAGGCCCCGTGGAAGGACTGGGCTGTGCCGGAGCAGGGCTGGGCGTGGGGAGGAGCCCACGCACCTGTAGTTTGGGGCAGGGAGTTCTCGAAGCACCTCTAGGATCTTGACCAAGCGCTCAGGTTCCAGCTGCACCGCCACAGCCTCCTGATTGGGGGAAGGTTCCAGAAGCGGGTCAGTGGCCCAGCCTGCCCTGCTTCCTCCCCAGAGCTCCGAGGCAAACTGAGCAACAGCTGCGCTGCCCACGCTGGCCCTGGCCCAGATGCACAGGGCAGCAGGGAGAGCCCAGAGTCGGGGACCCAGAGACCTGCAGGGAATCTTGGCTGTGCCCCTCAATAGCCTGTGACCTTGAACAGCCCACTGCCATCTGCCTGGCATCCTCTATGGGTCCTGGTCCGGGAAGACCTCCTCCCCCTGGCCCTCATGGGTGCCCGGGGCCTGGAGCAGTTCCAGGTGTCTGGGAAGCCTCTCCTCCCGGTTTGCAGGGGGGGGGGGGGGGGGAGGGCGGAGTCACACCTCTGCTGCTCAGGGTCTCCAGGTTCTGCTGCTCAATAAATAAAACCAGGACAGCCACCCTCAGCCCTCTGTGGCACCCCAGCCTCTAACTCACAGCAAACTTGTCATAGAGGCGGTAGGTGAGGAGGGGGTCGGGCAGCTCTCTGAAGTAGGCCTTGCACAGGGAGGACACGCAGTGGATGTCTTGGAGGTAAACATCTCGCCGCAGGTCTGGCTTCCGCTCCACCTCAAACTCCTGCCTGGGGAGGTGCAGAGTGGTCAGGGGTGCGGCCGAGAAATGGGGGAGCTCCAGGGATGCTCCAGACAGGGGTGAGGGGCAACGTGTGTGGGACTTGGAAGGAGGACCTGGGGCGTGTAGGTGGCCGCACAGGGCAGATGTGAGCAGAATAGGTGGCTCAGTGCGCGGACAGGGTCCACAGCGGGGGAAGCGGCCGCAGGCGTAGCAATGGGCGGGGGGCGGGGCCCATAGAAGTGGGAGGCGGGCCTGGACGTATCTGGGTACAGAGGTGGAAAATGGGTGAGTATAACCTCACATGAAAAGGTAAGTGCACATCTTCATAATCTTGGATATGGCACCGAAAGCACAGGCAACCCAAGAAAAAATAAATTGAACATCAAAATTACAAACTTTTGAGCCCTGGTTGGTGTGGCTCAGTGGTTAGAGAATAGGCCTGGCACCAGATGGTCACAGGTTTTGTTGTTGTTGTTGTTGTTTTAGTGTATTTTTATTGATTTCAAAGAGGAAGGGAGAAGAAGAGAGATAGAAACATCAATAATGAAAGAGAGTCATTGATTGGCTGCCTCCTGCACACCCCACACTGGGAATCAAACCATGACCTCCTGGTTCATAGCTCAACGCTCAACCATTGAGCCATGACGACTGGGCTGAAGGGTCACAGGTTTGATTCCCAGTCAAGGGCATGTACCTGGGTTGCAGGTTCAATCCCTGCCCCACCACTCCCACCCCCCGCACCCCCCACCCCTGTCAGGCTGCGTGTGGGAGGCAACCAATCCGCGTCTCTCTCACGTTGATGTTTCTCTCTCCCCTCTGCCCCATCCCCTCCCTCCCACTCTCTAAAAATCAATGGGAAAAATATCCTCATTCCTTGGATGAGGATTAAAAACAAGATCACAAACTAGTGTGTGCAGAGGGCACTGCTGAGAAGGAAACGCGGCCCACAGGATGGGGCTTGCAAGTCAGACTGAGTGAGTGTCTAACATCCAGAATATAAAGAACTCTTACGATTCAAAAGACACAAACAAAAGACTTGAATAGACATTTCTCAGAGAAGATACGCAAGCAGCCAATAAGCACACCAATGCGCAAGGTCGCCAGCTGCCAGAGATGCAGGTGCGGGTGCAACGCACTTCACAGCCGCTGGGACGCTGTGACAGAGGACGGTGCCGGGCGGCAGCGGGGGGAGTGATGGGGACCCTCCTGGGAATGTAAAATGATGCAACTGCTGTGGATCAGTTTGGCGGCTCCTTTAAAAGTTCAACATAGAGTTACCACATGACCCGCAATCCCACACCTGTGTACATACTCTAGAGAACTGCAAGCATATGTCAACGTCCACGTGTCCATGAATGTTTATGCATGTTATTCATAACAGCCAGCAGGTGGAAACAACCCAAACAACCATTAACTGATGAGTGAATAAACCAAATGTGGTCAAGTCACACCACGGAATATCATTCAGCCATAAAAAAGGAATGCAGTCCTAGTACATGCAACAACACGAATGGACTTTGAAAACAGGCCAAGTGAAAAAACACACACACAAACGTTTACAATCATATGATCCATTTATGTGAAATGGGCTGAATAGGAAAATCCATTCAGACCAAAGTAGACTAGTGGCTGCCAGGGGCCGGGAGGGAAGGTGGGGTGATGCTTATGGCATGGCTGCTGGAAGTGAGAAGATGCTCTGAAATGAGTGGTGACAGCTGCACAGCCTGTGAACATATAACAACCACTGAAATGTGCATCTTATTTTATTTTTTTAAATATGTATTTTTATTGATTTCAAAGAGGAAGGGAGAGGCAGAGAGAGATAGAAACATTAGTGATGAGAGAGAATCATTGATTGGCTGCCTCCTTCACACCCTTCACTGGGGATGGATCCCGAAAGCCAGGCATGTGCTCTTGGCCAGAATCAAACCCGGGACCCTTCAGTCCATAGGCCTATGCTCTATCCACTGAGCCAAACCGGCTAGGGCTGAAATGTGCATCTTTAAGTGGTGAATTTTATGGTAGGAGAATTATACCTATGTTTTAAAATATATTTTTAAATTGATTTCAGAGAGGAAGGGAGAGAGAGAGAGAAACATCAATGATGAGAGAGAATCATTGATTGGCTGCCTCCTGCACGACCCCTACTGGGAATCAAGCTCACAACCCTGCAACCCAGGCATGTGCCCTGACCAGGAATCATACCGTGACCTCCTGCTTCATAGGTCGACGCTCAACCCCTGAGCCACATCGGCCAGGCAACACTGATCTTTTTGAAAAAATGTAGATATAGCCAAGCCAACATATGAACCAGGAAGTCACAGTTCGATTCCCAGTCAGGACACATGCCCAGGGTGTGAGCTCAATCCCCAGTGCGGGGCATGCAGGAGGCAGCGGATCAATGATTCTCTCTTCATTGATGTTTCTCTCTCTCTTTCCCTCTCCCTTCCTCTCTGAAATCAATAAAAATATATTTCAAAAAATAAAAAGCTCGGTGTGTATGTGTGAGAGTGTGTGCATGTGTGTCCTGTGTGCGCATGTGTGTATGCATGTGCATGGTATGTGTGTGTCTGTGCATGCACGTGTGCGAGTGCGCACAAGTGAGTGTGTTCGTGCATGTGCGTGTATGTGTCGTGTGCGTATGTCTGCGCGTGCACACACGTGTGTGCATGCACATGTGTGTGTGCGTGTGTGAGTGTGAGTGTGTGAGTGTGTGAGTGTGTGCACGCTAGCCTGGAGCCCCTCCCTCCACAGAGCCTGGCGTCTGTGTCCTCCCCACACGGCCTGACTCACCGGAGCTTCTGGATGTTGGAGGAGACCCCTGAGAGGCGGTAGATGCCGTCCACCACTCCGTACTCCTCCACGAACTCCGCGCAGCTCCTCAGCACCTGGGGCACTGGGGGCGCAGGGCAGACACAGAGATCAGGCCGTCGCAGGGACAGAGGGAAGCCTCGGGGAGGGGTTGGGGAGACTGAGGGCAGTGCCCATGGAATAAAACTTGTCAAAAAGATTCTCAACGGACATCAGCTCCAGCCTACCAGCCCTCCACCACCTGCCTACCCACTGGGGCGAGAGCCTGGGCATGAGCCCAGGTGGGGAGCCGCTCCTGGGAAGCTCGGCCGCATGGAACTGCAGTTTCTCGCTCTGTACTCACTGCTGGCCACTCTGGAACTCTTAAAGGGCCAGCAATCTGTTTGAAAGTGTTACATAAATGCACTCCCAAGGCCAGTCTTTCCTCTGCGTCCCAACCACATGGGGACAGGGCTGACGGGGCCGCTGCGACCCACTCCCTTGGATATCACTCTGTCGCAGGAAGGTACACAAACAGTGACAGGCCTTCAGACACGTCAGTTCAGGAGAGAAGCTCCTCTGTGCCACGCACTGTGGAGCTAGTCCCCATTTAACAGATAGGAAAACTGAGGCTCAAAGGACTAACGAGTGCCCAGGATCACCCAGCTAGAGCCAGGATTGAGTTCCATCAGCTCAAAGACTACGCCATGTCTCCCAAGCCCTCCCTCCCGTTACTGGGCGGTAAGCTTCTTCAGGACAAGAGCTCATGTGACCCACCTTGATGTTCCCCATGTTATGTGATCTGGTGTCTCCTACATGGGAAACCCTCGAAGCCCCAGCATCCCGCTTCAAACCCTCTGTCACATATACACCCTCCTGCACCCGTCGTCAGTGCCCACCTTACAGACACGGAATAAAATGCAAACTCTTCAGCGTGAGAGGTAAGACCCTTCACAACGCGAGTCCAGGCTGCCATTTCCGCCTCAGCGCCAGCCAGTTCCCCGTCAGATCCCAGGGTCGGCCCTTTGCTGCTCTCTGAACGAGGCTCGGGACCATGCCCTCCCTTGTTATTCCATGTCACTCCCTCGCCCGGAAATGCCCTCCCCCGGCTCTGCCTGTGAGCTCCTACGCGCTCTTCAAACACACCTCACACGCCGCCGCCAAGCGAGCCGGCCAGGCTGTGCCCGCTCCCGAGCCCTGCTGCCTGTGCATGCTACTTACTGCACCTCGTAATGGTTACTTTCTCTTGGATTTATACCTTTGGACAAGTAGTCACATCCTCCCCAGCATCTAGCACAGTGTTGACACATAGCATATGTTCAGTAAATGCTTATTGATGACTCAATTAATTACCAATTATGAGAATTAGTGACATCTCTTGGAGACCAAAGATACAACACTGAGTCCTACTACCTGGCCCCCAGCGCTCTGCGCTTCTCCCACACGCCTGCTTGCCTGCTTCTCTCTTCTCTGGGCTGTGGGAGACGGCCTGACGGGTCCCCCACGCTCACCCCGGGAAGCGCAGGGCCACCCAGGGGCCACATAGGAGCTGAGAAGTAGTCTGGGCCTATCTTACCTTTCCTCTTCTTGTCCCTTCAACACACTCCCTTCAGTCACCTACTCTTTCTCTAAAGGTTTGTGTTTTGGAAGTCATCCAATCCGTTCTTCGTGGAATTCAGCAAGACAGAAGCACAGAATGAAGGGACTCATGAATCCACCCATCACCATCCTAAAGCCTCCTGACACGCCTGCGTCCACACCCCTGCCGCCTGCACCTCAGACCCCGGCCTGGAGGGTCAGGGGGCACAGGTGCGACCCTTACGGGATGTCCTCCCGCGGGAGGGCTCAGCATCAGCTCCGTCAGCTCCTGGGAGCGGAGCTTCTTTAAATGCCTCACTCAGTCCCCGCCCTTCCCTGGACTTCGTCCTGGCCCAGCTCCCAACCACCCTCAGCTCCTGTGCCCGCTGGCAGGGCCGACGCCGGCCTCACTGAATGCAGAGTGATGGGGGTCTCCGTGTCAGACCTGCTGCTCTCGGGGCCTGATGCGGCACCAGCATTGTTGGCGGCCACACGGCTCAGACGGAGCCTGCTGCCCCGCACCCCAGGGCCTTGTCACAGGAACTACAGCCAAGCAGACACCCCCCCCCTGCTGATTGTGAGTCTCCAGAGCAGGCCCTTAAAGAAGGCATGTGGGAGCCAAGGGAGTCAGAGCCACCAGGAAATGGGTCGAGGAGGTGAGGGAGGAGAGGACAGGGTCCGAGAGATGGAGGGTTGAGGAGCCAGGGATCGAAGAGATGGGGTCAGAGGCACAAGTCACAGAGCAGGGAGGGCGGCAGAGTCCAGGGGCAGGACAGGTCATGGAGGAGGCCCTGGAGCGTCAGAAACCCGAGGGAGGCGTCAGAGAGGACGACCAGGCCTGGCCGGCGGGGCTCAGTGGTTGATTGTCCACCCAGGAACCAGGAGGTCACAGTTCGATTCCCAGTCAGGGCACATGCCCGGGCTGCAGGCTCGATCCCCGATCCCGTCAGGGGTATGCAGGAGGCAGCAGACCTATGCTTCTCTCTCTATCCCTCTCCCTTCCTCTCTCTCTAAAATCAGTGAAAATGTAGAAGAAAGAACTCGGTGAGTGGAGGGCTTGGGGGAGGAAGAGACCCCCTGGGAGAAGAGCTGGGAGAAGCTGCCAGATGGGGGAACGAATGTCTCAGGGGAATTCGCCGTGCTGGCCCCACGGCGGGACTTCCTTTCTGCGGGGTCTTGGGCTGGAGAAGCCGCCACCAGTGTGTCTCCCCTTCACCCCACCATCTGCCCAGGCTGGGGGCCCGGCCTCACTGCCACTCTGGTGCCGAATCTCGCCTCCCGAGGGCTCAGGTGGGTCCTGCGGGGGGCGGGGCGCTCCTCTCACCCTCCGGAGGCAGAGATCCGACCCAGCACCCAGACGCTGTCATCCCGAGAACGTGCCCCCACCCCCGCTGAAAACGCTGGAGGCGGGTCAGTGTTCAACGTGGGGCGGCAGGCCCCAGGGGAAGGACAGCGCCAGGATGAGGAGGAGGCACTGGGTTCGCAGAGAACTGGGGGAGGAACCTCAGCCCCATCCATCGCGGGCCCTGGGCCCAGTGCCTCCTTCTCCAGGCAAACCCTTCTGGCCCATCGTGAGGAGAAAGGCCCAGAGAGCCGTCGCCGCCCCCACTCTTCCTTGGGTCCCAGGCGTGCCCTTGGCCGAGCCCTGGGGATGAGGCCTCTTGGGGAGAAAAGGGGAAGAAGGTGTCTGGGGATGCGGGCGGCCCTGAGCAGGAAGCCAGCAGGAACCGGGGCCCTCCCTGCACTGCAGGGGCCACAGCTCTGAGCAGAGAAGGACAAAGAGGAAATGACAGATTGGGGGGGAGGGGGGGAGCCGGCCCCTTCTCTGGGAGGAGCTGGACCTGCCAAAACAGGCCGGGCGGGGCCGCCAGGACACCTGTGCTCAATTTCAACCAAATTGAGAAATGCGCTGCTCCTGGGAGCAGAGGGGTGAGCAGAGCGGCAGGTCCCCAGTGCGGGCCCAGGCCCCTCGGGGCTCCTCGGGGAGACAGTCCCCACCCCTCCTCTGCCCTTCGCCCGTCTTCAGACCAGGCCTCAGGCTGCCTTGCTCTCTGGGTCCCAGGTCCACAGCCTCCCCTGCCCTCCCCTTTGCACAAAGGGACCAGGAGGGTCCCAGAGAACAGGAGGGGCTGTCCCCACCGGACCCTCACCTGTGGCCCAGCCAGGCTGCAAAGGGCACTCTCCCCACCAGGACCCACCCTAGTGCCTCCTTGGACTCTCCCAGGCCCTTGTCCATCCCTCCATTCGGACCCAAGGACCCGCCATTGCCCCACGGAGGGCCCTGCCTTCTTCACGCAGCTTCCTGCCTCGCGGCCCATCGCCTGGTGGGTGGCACCCAGCCCCTCTCCCTCCCTGCAAGCACCTCCACTCCTGAAGCGCCTACCGTCCTGGCCCGAGTGCTGCAGGTGGTCCTGCAGGTCGCACCCGAACACCCGCTCCTTCGAGCTGCCCTTCTTCTTGCCTTTCTGCCGAGACTTCATGGTTGGAGCCCAGGCCTCTGGCCCAGCCACCTCCGTCCCCCAAAACCTTTGGCCTACGGGTCCCCCAGGAAAGTCCTAGCCAGCCTGCGGGCTTGGCCCAGCCCAGGGGGCAGGGCTCCGAACTGGGGGTGGAGGCGGCCTGGGCAATAGGCAGCAGCTCCTGCCTCTGGGGCTCCGGCCGCGGGGAAGTGGTGGTGGAAGAGGAAGCTGCCAGGACCCGGCACAAAACTGTCTCGTGGCCGACCTGGCACTTGCCCCTCAGCCTGCTCAGCCCGGAGGGCAGGAAGCAGCGCAGCGCCCCAAACCCGCTTCCTGTTAGAGCATCTTTCAACCACAGGGCGGGGTGGGGGAGGTAGCTGACATTCACATCCTCACACGTTGCTGGGCTCTGCCCATTGGTCGAGGGGCGGTGATGTCAGAGTCCTGGGGTGAGTGAGCGGCTGGGGTGTGAGCAGGTGACGGGCACTTAGAGCCAAGGATGCTGGGTCCCAGGTAGAGACCTAAGCTGGTCCCCAGCGAGGCAGCTCGGAGCTGTGCCCACACACACAGGAGGGAGGGCCAGGCCGCCGACGGCCCTTCACACAGGGACCTGGAAACCCTTCCCGCTCGAGCCTTCGGGGAACTCCTCTGCGGTTTGGCTTCTTTGCCTGCCTCCCCGGCCTGTGCTGCCCACGGGCCCACAGCCCTGCCTGCCCCACCGGGTCTCACAGGTCCTCCCGGGACCCCAGGACAGCGCTGAGGCCGACAGCGGGGTCCAGGCTTACACAGCTCAGGGGGCAAGACAGGAACAAGGCCAAACAGGTATCATCTGTTTATTTAAAAACAGACTATCATTTTATGTACAAATATGGACATATTTACATAGAATGTACACACTAGGTCCCAGATCCAAAGCCTGGGCCGGCTGGGGAGCAGGGCGGGTCTCTCCTGGACCAGGAAGCCTATAGCAGGCCTGAGCGGTGGCCTGCAGGCGCCCCGCTGGGGGCTCTGGCTGCATGTGTCTGAGTGGACCAGGCAGAAAGGGGCCTTGTCACACTGCAGAAACGGCCAGAAACGCCCTGAGGTGGTGGCCCCAGAGGAAGGAGCCAGTCTGGCCCCCAGCAGCCCCTTCGTATCCCCTGAACCCCCACCCTCTCTCCCCAACAACAACTGAACCAGGAACCCTTGTCACCAAGTCCCAACAACCCCCCACAGGTCCACAGGCCACTGTGAACGTGACGAAGAAAGCAGAGGGGCTCCGGGGCCAGGGGCCGACCCTGCCCTCCGGGGCCGCAGCCACTCCCACCCGCAGGCCCCTGGCTGCAGGCTCCCTCCCAGAGGCCACCTGGGTGTCCTGGGCAGGTCTGTGCCGACAGCCTCACTTCAAGGAATGAGACCCTTTCATGTAAGTGAAAAGCTTGTTTACAGTTTTCCTCTTACTAAAGGGCTCACAGCACCGGTCCTTACAGATGTGCAGGCAGCAGGCCCAGCCACTAGAGGGCAGAGGGCTTCTCCTGTGGCAGCTGGAGCCTCTGGGGACCAGGCTGGCTTCACACTCGCCCGTGGGCTCCAGCGCTGGGAGCCCCGCTCCCCACCAGGAGCCAGATCCCAGCTCCAGCTGTGCCCGCACACCTGGAAGTGCCCACAGCAGCTCCACCTCTGGCCTCCAGCCTCCGCATCATTATAATACTGCTCTGGGGTCTGACGAAAACACCTGTTTGCAGGTGGAGGGCATGCAGCCACACAACTCTCACGCAGCTGCCCGGGGCCCGGGCACAGCAGTACCGGGCACTGGGCCCTGACAGATGGCATGACGCGCAGCACAGGCGCCCTCCTCACACACAGTCGGCGCACACACACACACACACACACACACACACACACACACACACTGACCTGCGCACACAGCAGGGACTCAACCAATGGAGCCATCTGGGTATCAGACACAAGGGCTGGAGGAAAAGGTCGCAGTCAGCGGGGAGTGGGGGGCGAGATGAGCTGAAATGCTCACGTCAGCAGAGGGAGCCGGGCTTTGGGAGATGGGCCTGGGTCACACCAGGTGCCCCCGCCCGTTGATGTAGATGCCGTTGCCCGTGGGCTTGGCCCGCAGCGTCCCGTTTTCCTGCACGAAGTGGCTCATGGCCTGCTTGATGCCCTCGTCGCGGTCCTCCTCCCCCTCTGCCCGCTCGCAGCCAGAACTGGGCGCCAGCAGCTCTGTCTGGGTCTCGATCTCCCGCACGGTGGTCAGTGTGGAGTAGCTGCGACCTTCCGGCTCTTCACTCTGGAGGCCAAGGGCAGAGGACATGTCAGGAACCAAGACAGGGCAGCCATACCCTGGGGGATGGGGGGGCGCGGAGGGGCAAGGTGGGGTCGTAGGTCAAGCATAAACAGGGGTCAGGTGTCATGGCTGTCTCAGAGGCACTGGGCATGAGAGGAGGAGCTGGGAGCAAGTGCTGGGTGTGGGTACAGAAATGGAGATGAAGGTGGAGCAGGAGGGCAGGGTGGGGCCGTCTGAGCCAGGCTGAGGGGCAGGACAAGGACAGGGAGGGGCCACTGACCCCCCGCCCCCACTGGGAACAGGACAGGAACTGAGGAGAGTGGTGGGGACGCGGTGGGGCCGGGGCCTCACCATCACAGAGCAGCTACTGTTGTCCTTGAGACTATCAGGGTGGCCCTCGGCTCTCAGCCCTACACTCTCCTCCGGCTGCAGGGCCGGACACGGGGGAGTCAGAACAGGGCTCGGCCCCGCCTCTGTCTTCCACCAGCTCCTCCCTGACCACCACTCCCCCAACCCACAGCCCATTCTCTCCTGGACACAAACTTCCTCGTGCCCCCACCCCCCAGGACCAGTGCTGATGGGGCTGCCCGAGGACCCAGGGAGCCGAAGCAGTTGTGAGTCAGCGGCCAGACCGGCAGAGGGCTATGCTCCTGGGCAGAGGGGCACTCACCTGGCTCCTGGGGTCCGAGTGGTGGGAATGCAGCCTTCGGATGGAGTTCTCCCTGGTCAGGGTCAGCTCCTCCTCACTGGGAAAGACACCCCTTGGTCAGGAGGGGGACAGAGGTGGCCCTCCACAGGGCCTCTGGGAAACCGGGCCCTGGGTGATGTGCTGTCCCTGCAAGTGTGCTCGACGGCTGTGGCGGCAGCGTGGCTGCGGAGCATGTGCGCGTGCAAGTGTGTGCACGGTGACGCCTGGGTGTGTGGATCTGACCCTCACAGGCAGCGAGGTCCTCCTCATCCAGCCGTGGCCCAGACCCCGAGCCCCAGAGGCCCGCCCCCTCTCCTCTCCTCAGTGCCCCCCCACCGCCTGTCTCCTCCGTCCCCAGGAGCGGCCAGTACTCACTACTTCTGGGTCATCTGCCGGGCCTTGCGCCGATGGTATCGTGACATCAGCACCACCACCACCACCAGGAGGCAGAGCAGGAGCCCGGCGATCACGCCCACCACCACCACGGAGGCCGACACCAGGTCCACCTGCTTCCCCGTGGCTTCGGCCGGGTCTGCTGGAGACAGGCTGCCTGAGTGGGAGCCCATTCCCGCGCCGTCCACACGGAGCAAACCTCACCCCGCCCCGCAGCCCGGCCCTCTGCTCGCTGCCGTGACCCCCGAGCTTACCGAGCACCTCCACAGTGACCTGGGCCTCCCGCCAGGAGAGGTCATTGCTGACGTGGCAGACGTAGACGCCACTGTGCTCAGCAGTCAGCGGGGGGAAGCCCAGGGTGTCCCCTTCCACGCGCACCCCGCTCGGCAGAGGTCCGTCCAGCCTGGAGGACAGGGAGCTGATGGGGGCTGCCGGCTGCGGCTGCACCACCGACATGCCCAGGCCTTGCTCCCCTTCCCGCACCCATGTCGTCACCCGGTGCCGCAGGCCGTTCCCACGGTGCCCCTCCCACCCAGGCAGGTCCAGGCAGAGGCCCTCCGCCCTGCCGCTCAGCCTGACCTGGGCGCCCTCCACACGCGCATGCCATCCCACACGCTCCCACGGCAGCACATCACCCAGACTGGGCACCAGGCACCTCTGGCATGCAGTCCACAACGGGACACTTCATTCCTGTCTGGGCTCAGACGTACTTGGAAAAAGTGGCTGGCACCCCACCCCCACGGCACGTGCACAGGCAGGGCAGGGCCTCAGGCACAGGCCACGTGCGCCGAGGCACCCACAGACGTGCGCCTGACCCTCCCTGAGTCCCTGGGCCTCAGACCCTGGAGAAAGCCACGCGCTCCCGAGGGAACCGGCGCAGTGGGGTGCTTCCAGGGCAGGCACCACCGTGGGTCACAGGAGCGTTGGTTTGACAGCAGTTACAATCGCTGCATCCTGTGGTCTCACCCCCTTTAGGAACTGATGTGCACGTATGAAATGTTAACACTGAAGTACTTCGTTGTGTAAAAGTTAGGAAAAAAGCCAAGGTCATTACTGGCTGGTTCCCTGAAATGATCGCATACCCAGACTCCCCATGCAAGCCGACGCCACTCGGTGAACACGGCTGCTCCTGCGTTGGATGAGCCTGTGCCCCAATTTACCTGGGGCTCAAACTATCCGTCCAGTCCCTCCTGAGCACATGCTGGCCTGAGAGAGGGTCTGGGTCCGAGCGGCCCTCCCAGGCCAGGCCCTCACCGTGTCCAGTTGTAGGTGGGCGGGGGCTGCCCCTCACTCAGGCACTTGAGTGTGGTGCCTTCTCTGCCGATCTGCCACAGCTTTTGGTCTTCCAGGCCCCGCACAGAGGCCTCTGCAAGGTCTGGGGTGGAAGGTGGGAGGAGAAAAGATGGGAATGGTGACTCTGATCTTGCTGTTCCTTCAAGGGCCCCCCCCACCCCAGGCTCCACCGTCCTGAAAGAGCCTCCCCTGCCTTCTCCTTCCCACTCACTGGTGCCAAGCCAGCCCCCACCCCCACCCCTGCACCCGGGCCGTGGTGCCTCGCCACACAGCGCCCTCTCCTCTCTGGGCTGAGGGTCCTGGGGTACGGGTGCAAGGAGCCCCTGCGTGCCACGGTCACTCGTCCCGAGACCTCCCCACCGAGGTCCCGCGGAGCTGTACTGGTTCATGCTCCCTGATTCTTGGGAAGCTAAACATCTACTATTCCATTCATTTCCTTAACAAACATCTGCTGTGGACCCACGCTGGGCCACGTGCTGGGTTAGTCTGAGTCAGAAACAGTCCTCACCCCCAGAGGCCCCACACCTCCTGCCAGGCCCCCGCTGCTCTGCGCACCTCCCTGCACTGAGCCCCCGCTGCTCTGCGCTCCGGGCCCTGGTTCCCACGGGAGCCCTGACGTGGGTCTGACTCCCCTCCTCTGCGGAGGAAGAAACGGAAGCCGAAGGGGAGAGCGGCAGCTGGCAGCAGCTCCCATCCCCGCCTGGACACCCCACCAAGTGCTTTCAATTCCTAGTTCACGTGTGATTCTCCCAACCAGCCTTTTAGGTCAGAGGCCAAAGGTCATCTGGGTGGGCTCCCCCCAGGCCTCACCTCTCAGACTGGTGCTCTCTCAGCCACATGTTGTGGCCACAGGACCCGGCTGGCCTGACAGTGGGGCTAGGCTCTCAGGATCTCACCCTTGAAGCCCACGGGGCCCCACCCAAGACCCAGTACTCACAGGCCACCTGCAGGATGTGGGTGATCCTCTGGTCCTGGAGCAGGCCCGGGTGGGAGACCACGCAGGTGAGGGGCCGCCCATTCATGCTGCGGCTGGGCACCAGGCGGAACTCTGAAGTGACAGCCGCCGAGCGGGAGTGCTCGAAGGTGCGGCTGGACATCGTGCCCTTGACCTCTGTGTCCCAGGTCACGTTGGGAGCCGGGCTGCCCTCAGCTGTGCAGGAGGCGGCCAGTGTCAGGCCCTGGCCCTCTTCTAGCGCTGGACCAGGATTCAGTGAGGGCAGGGGAGGCACTGCAGGTGGGGGAAGGGGGTCATGGTCTGCACCGTCAGGAGGCCCTGCCCCATCCCAGGTCCATCCCACCGGCCGCTGCCTCTTATTTCACCAGGAAAGATACCAGGTGAGTGGCAGAACCTCATCTGACTTTATACCTGTCCACTGTTCGTATTGTTTACAACGAGCATGGGTTACTTTTAATGAAAACAATGAACGAATTAAAGATAACGTACATAACAGTAATAGGCACCACTTATTACGCACTTGCTAAACACTTTACAAACAGCATCTCATCAGTCCTGCCAACGAGCCATTGAGGTGCACGGATACGGTTGCTCCTGTCCCATGGAGGACCAGAGCCTCAGGCAGGGAAAGGCTGCCCCAGGCCTGGCTCTTAGCTGCTCAAGCCGGGTTCACACTCCTATTTCCTATAAGGCTGGCAACTAGGGAGATGACAGACCTGTTTTATCTTCATAACATTCGTAGCCTAAACCCAGGATGGAAAAGACTTCACTTGGCCTTCGGTTTGGGGCTTCCACCGACCACAAGCGCCCACCGTGCAAAGCCGGGACTTAAAGGGTCACTGTGGTCTCTGACCACACTCACTGAGGTCCAGGCCAAGAGAGACATTAGCCCCTGGTCCTGCATGGCACCTGCCACCCCTGGGCCCGCCGGCCCACTCCTAGGCCCCACGTGGAGCCCAGGTGCTGAGGGGCTTTGACCAGCGTCTGCTGGAAGCGGGTGAGACCCAGTGAGCGCGGCGGGGCGGGCGGGGCAGGTCCGAGCCCACCCGGAGGGCTGGGGCTCCGGGAGCTGAGAGCCGAGGGTGCAGGTGAGAGGACTGGCTGGGCCCTGTCGCCCGAAAGAAACCGAGAGGGAGGTGTCAGGTCACTGGGAGGAAGAACTTGCGTTAAATGGCTCCTCCCAAGGCTGAGCCGGGGGTACCAAGGCGGGGGCCACTCTGAGTTGTGAGGGGGGTGGGCTGCAGGCCGCGCGCTCCCCCCGCCCCCGCAGGACCCGCTCCGCCCCCGCCCCCTCCGGCCGGGGCGGGCGCTCACCCAGCACGCGGAGCCGCAGCCGCGCCTGGAAGCTGCCGGCGGGGAAGGTGCTCACGCGGCACTCGTACTCGCCCTCGTCCGCCTGCACCGCGTTGCGCAGCAGCACCGCGCCGTCCAGGGGGCCTCGTGGGGGCGGCCGCTCCACGCGCCCCTCGTAGGCGGGGCCCACGTGCAGCCCGTACTGCGCGTGCAGCAGCGCCAGCTCCCGGGCGCCCTCGGCCGCGTCGGCGCGCGCCCAGGCCACCTGCGCCACCTGCTCGTCGGGGCCCCCGCGGTAGAGGCAGGGCAGCCGGGCGTCCTGGCCCAGCACCACCGTCACCAGCTCCGGGGTCTCCAGCTCGCCCGCCGGGCAGCGGCCTGCGGGCAAAGAGGCAGCGGGTTAGGGGCTGCGGGGCGGGACTCACAGCGACCGGGGCGACGGCCGCTCCCCGGACGCCCACAGACCAGAGAGTGGGCGGCGCGTCCCTGCTCACCCGGTGGGGACACGACGCCCGCGACGAAGGCGCGGCAGCCACCCCCTCCCGGCCGCGACCGCTGGGGGCGGGGGACGGGGATGGGGGCGGGGGCGGGAGGGACCCAGGCTCTGCCCGCGGGGGCGCGCGGTTCTGAAGTGCGCAAAACGGGGGCCCAGGGCAGGCCTGCGCCCCGTCCCGGAAAGATGGCTCTCAGGGGCCCAGGCGGGTGAGAGCCGCGTGTGGGAGGTCCCTCCGGGAGGCTCTTAGAGCGTGGTTTTCCTGCTTGGAGGGGAGAGACCGGGTTCCTGGGAGGAAGGTGTGGGTGTGGGTGTGTGTGGGGGCTCCCCGCCTGCCCCAGCCAGTCCCTGAGACCGGAAGGCCGAGGCCGGGGCTCAGAGAGGAGGTCGGTCGGTTGGTCGTCTCGGGACCAGGACGCGGGCCAGGTGGAAGGGCGAGTGGCAGGGGCATCTGCCCCGGAGCCTCATCTGCCCGGACCTTCATCTGCCCCGGAGCCTCATCTGCCCGGACCTTCATCTGCCCAGGGAGCCTCATCTGCCCGGACCTTCATCTGCCCCGGACCTCATCTGCCCCGGGACCTTCATCTGCCCAGGGAGCCTCATCTGCCCCGGGACCTTCATCTGCCCAGGGAGCCTCATCTGCCCCGGGACCTTCATCTGCCCAGGGAGCCTCATCTGCCCCGGGACCTTCATTTGCCCAGGGAGCCTCATCTGCCCCGGGACCTTCATCTGCCCAGGGAGCCTCATCTGCCCGGACCTTCATCTGCCCCGGAGCCTCATCTGCCCCGGGACCTTTATCTGCCCAGGGAGCCTCATCTGCCCCAGAGCCTCATCTGCAGAGCAGGCCCTGTCCAGGCCTCACAGCTCGTGGGGCAGACAGCCCTGGGGTGGGTTCTGACTCGGCCGGGCTGTGGGCGACCAGGTGGGCGGAGAGGACCGGGTTTGGGAGGCGGAGAGGAGGGCGAGCGAGGCAGGTAGGTCCGGAGTCCCTGGTTGGAGCCCAGCCGCCCGGGACCTTCCGCACCAGGCAGAGGGGTTCCGATTTGGTCAAGAGGAAACGCGAGTCACGAATCCGGGAGGCAGGGGTGCTGTGCCTCCGGCGGGAAAGCGAGAACCTGAACTAGGAGGGAGAGGAGGCGCCGTTCCTGGGAAAGGGCAGGATTTGGTCCCCGCACAGGGGGAGAGGGGAAGACGCAGACCCTCAAGGCCGCTGCCCACACCTGCTCCCGGCGCCCGGATGCCCTCCTTCCTGTGTGCCGGCGCCTGCCCGCTGCCTGCTTTCACCCGCTCAGCGTTTACCCCGGGGCTGCAGCTGCCTCCCACCAGGCTGAGCTCCTCAGAGGAGAGGCTGGGCCTCACATCACCTGTGGAAACGTGGATTCTGACTCAGTGCTTCCCATGGGAGCGTGTGGTCTGCATTCCTGGCTCATAATTGATACTCAATCCCTGTTTACTGATGACTGGATGAGTGAATGAGCGACTGGAGGAGAGACAGGCAGAAGGGGGAGAGGGTGGGCCCAGGAGGAAGGAGCAGTCTTTGGCTGGGCTAGGCAGGGAGGGGTGTGCATGGCAACCTTGCCAACCTTGGGGTGCAGGCAGGACAGACTGGTTAGCTGGGTTCAGTGCAAAGGAAAAAAGAAAGGGGTGGAGGCCAGCCGGCCCAGGGGCTGAGCGTCGACCTGTGAACCAGGAGGTCACGGTTAGATTCCCAGTCAGGGCACAGGCCCGGGCTGCGGGCTTGATTTCCAGTGCGGGGCGTGCAGGAGGCAGCCGATCCATGATCCTTTCTCATCATGGATGTTTCTCTCTCTCTCCCTCTCCCTTCCTCTCTGAAATCAATAAAAATATTTTTTTAAAGAAAAGAAAGGGGTGGACGGGCATGGGGGTGGGTAATACAGAGAAGCCCAACTACAGGGATCCGAGGGTCCGGGAGGCAGAGCCCAGCAGGGGCAGAGGGAGGGGCCTGCAGCCCTGCTTGCAGGGGGGAGGAGGATGCTGTTGGGAGCTGGGAGAGCCTGAAAGGGACAGGACAGACCTGCAGGGCTGGATGCCAGGGCCCTGAGCTGACGTCGGTCCCACCCAGCCCAGCCTGGGAGTCCAGCTAACCGCCTGCGCCTCTCCCAGCACACCCTCTGGACACAGGAAGGCAAGGCTGCCAGGGCAGGCCTGAGGTGGGCTTCCCGCACGTCCCCTGCGCCCAGCACTGCTGTTTGCAGGCCGCAGAGGTCCAGTGCTTCAGCCAGGCACAGAGCCCTTCTAAAGACTGTTTCTGGGACAATGTCAGAGGCCTATTTTTCACTCATTCCTGAGACTTGCCAACCATCTGCCACCCCTTCCCCACTAATCACCCACATTTCCCCAAAAAATGACTTCATAGAGCACAACAGGCATCGAGTGCCCAGCACATGCCTGAGTCCAATCCTTGCATCCCCACTGTGACCCAAGACCCACACTCCCCAGAGACAAGCCCAAGGCCTGCACAGGACCCAGTGAGGCAGGAAAGCCCTCGGCTGCTCCCACAGCCCCACTGTCCTCAGTGCCGTCTTCAGGGGAGAGAGCTGGGCTCAAATGGATCCAGAGCTCAGCTGCCAGCGCAGAGCAACCTTCTCTCTCCCAGCCAGCACCTACCTGGCATCGCATGATGATGTCACCAGAGCAAAGGATGATGTCACCAGAGTCGCCTGCCAGGTGAGGTCACTGTGTGAGCACCCAGTGCCAGGCCAGGCCCACCACCCTCCTGCTGCACACTGCTGAGGCCCGTGGCCTCTGCTGGCCGCACTCCTCCCTCTGACCCTCCCTGCCTCCTCCCAGAGCCCAGGACGCTGGTCAGGAACCTTGGTGATTCAGACGTGCTGTGGAGCCACAGCCACCACCAGCCACCACCTTGCGCAAGGGGAAGAACAGGCCCAACTGGCCCAACGGGATCCCTGCCCTCGGCCTCCCCACCCCGGCCAGGCCCCACGCCACCAGCTCCCAGACAGGTCCTCCAGTCCTGGCTGCTCCCACCCTGAGCTTTTGTCCCGACTTTCCTGGGTGTGAGGCCTGGCCTGTGACCTCGGGAGGGGACTGAGGCCGCCACCACGGAGTGTCTCTGGGGTTGGGGGGCTCTTCCTGGGAGGGGCGCTCCCTCCAGCATTCCCGGGGTGCAGGGCGGGTCAGGGAGGACCAGGAGGGGAGTGTGAGCCTGTGGGTCTGGACGTGCAGCTCTGGGTGAGGGCCTGTTGCTCTGGTTGTGGCTCACGTGCATGTGAGGCTGCCTCCTTGCACGACGGGGTGTCACACACTCGTGTTCATGCCTTACCTTCTTGAATGTCTGTGCTTGTGGTAAGGCATGAACACGAGTGTGTGACATACCCCTGTCCCACGGGCTCAGTGCGGGTGGCGAATATTTGGACGTGGGTCCCCTGGTGTGTGCATGCCTCCTGTCCCGGCTGCCTGGTGGGTGGCGGGTGGCTGTGTCCGTCCGGACTGGCCCTCACGTGCCCTCCCACCTCACTGAGGGCAGAGTCACCTCAGGTGGAGGGCCCGGCGATGAAGTCGTGTCTCTCCGGGGGTGCCCTGGGCAGCTGCCAGCACGGGCTCCCCAACACAGAACAAGAGCTCTCTCACCCTTGTCCTCAGGACTCCCCCTCCTCCCCCAGCCACTCCCCAGGGCCCCCAGCACCTGTGGCCGGAGGAGGCCTCTCCCTGGGAATGTCTGCTGCCACCACCAAAGCAACCCTGTTTGGCCCTGGGCTGGGTGAGGGTTGTCTGGTGTGGGTTGGTGGGAGGAGGATGCTGCCTGGGGCTAAGGGAGGGTCCAAGTCATCCAGGGTCTCAGCCGCATTACCGCTGTCCTCCCCGCCCCCCCCCCCCCACCACTGCAGCCTCCATGGGAGAGAGTAGAAGACACAGGTGACATTGGGGGGGAGAAAGGACCTGGAAGGGGAGCCCTGTTTCCTCCCTCCTGGGCAACCTTGGCCTCAGAGTAAAACCAGGAGAATCTCCCTCTGCTCACCCACCTCCCTCCTTACCTCCCATGGTCCTAAGCCCCCAGCTTAGCAACCTGGGCAAAGCGCCCACCCACCGATGAGCGTCTGGGGAGGGGGCCGCAGCAGGAGCGGGGATGAGAACAATGGGGCAGGGCAGGCCTGGAGGCAGCCCCACTGGCCCAGGCAGCTCCAGCTCAGATAAGTCCTCTAAACCCCCCGGAGCCAGTCTGAGCCCGGCTGAGTCACCAAACAGCCACACTGTGGGTGGGAGACCCAGAATTCAGCTTCTCCCAAACTCCTGAGATCCTACCACCCGCCCCCCCCCCCCATCCTGCCAGCCACCCTCCAAGTGTGGCCAGCTCTGCCCCACCCAAATCCCAGCCTCAGCTCAGCTCTCAGCACACACCAATTTGAGGTGAGTGGGGGGAGGGGCACAGAATGATGGGAAAGGCCAGGGCCAGCGGCTCCTGCCTGCGGCGTGGTCCCACCTGCACCCTCCTCCCCGGGCTGTGGCCCCAGTTCCCAGCCTCACCTTCCATTTTTATTCCGCTCCCAGGTCCAGCCACGGGCTCCCTCCCGACTCAGCTCCTGCCCACCCCGCCCCACCTTCCTCCCCAGACCTGGTTCAGAAGGGCACGTTTCAGAGGCCAGAAAGCCCAGGCATTCTCCCTCACGAGGCTTAACCATCCACTTTGCTGGGGACCCCAGGACCCCAAGGCTGCAGTCTAGACTAGAGGCTGGGGCCGTGAGCTCTGCGATGAGCCCGTCGCCGCCATCTCTGTGCACCAGGGTAGGACTGAGGTCCTGGGGTGTCCTCCCTGCCCCCTTTTCTGGCCTTGGGTGGGGAAGATTCCCCAGGAGTAGAAAAGCAGGGATGTGCCTCCCTTTCTAGGAAACCAGCCTCAGACTAAAAGCTGGTCCCCCTCAGGGTGAGGGCGGGACTGGCGAGCCCCCACCCCTGGCCCTGCGGGCCCACTGGGGCCAGACCCGGCTGGGAAGAGGAGCTACTGAGGGTGTCAGCAGACACGGGTCCCTCACGCCCAGGGCAGGAGGTGGGGGAGGGAGAAGGGAGGGGACCTCACCCGGAAACTCATCTCATTAAAGAGAAACAAAGAGCCTTGGTGCAGGCGCCTCCCCAGCCTCCTCCTCGGTCAGGGGTGGGGCACGGCCCTGGGGCTCAGCTCTGTCAGGGCCCGCGGGGGGGGGGGGGGGGCAGGACAGTGTCCAGGGTGAAGCCAGCCTGGGTCCCACCCAGAGAGGCAGCCAGGACCCCCTTATCACCGCAGCCAGACCGCCCTCCGCGGGGCCTGACCGTTCACTCCGGGACCTCAGGGCTGGAGCCATGGAGGCACCGCCGCCTCTGGGTCTAAGACTCGTTTCTGTGTTGCCCAAGGTCCCCTAACAAATAAAGAGCAGAAACAGCCAGAACTCAAGGTTTTTTCAGAGACAAGAAACCCTTCAGTCTCCGGGAGCGGCTGCGGAGGAGCCGAAACAGAGGCCTGAGCGATGCCATTGCCTCGTCCCCTGTCCGTCTGTCAGGCCTGGGCCAGGCCGAGGCCGCCCTAACTGGAAGCCCTCCCTGGGTTTCTCTTAGAAAGAAGCTCTGGGCCATGGAAGGGTGCAGGGACCGGGTCTGGCTCAGGACATCCTGCTTCTAACCCTGAGGGCCTCTCTGCCTCAGTTTCCCTCCGTACAGTGAGGGAGTTGGGGCTGCGACCTCTCTGATCTGCCCCGCCCTGAGACACAGCCACACCATCCTCAAGGTGTGGGTAGGTCCTGCAGGCAAGTGGCTGCCCAGCCGCCAGGCCCGGCAACCTGAGCAAGTGAGAAGGGCTCTGTGGGGAAGGGGAATGAAGATGGGGGGTGCGGGTGGGGGGTAGAAGCTCAGTGCCCTGTGATTGGAGGCTGGGCCACACAGCCAGGCTAGCTGCCCTGACAGCCTCAGCTGGGGTGAGGCAGGGCCATCGCCCGTCGGGCACGGAAGCAAGGGCCCTGCTGGACGACCAGGCTCTGTGGCTGCTCCCGGGACTGGGGAGAGACAGTCCTATGTAGGCAGGTCCCCGTGTCCCAAAGGAAAGGAGTCTCAGTTAAGCATGGCCCTGGGCATGGCCCACTATGGTCTTGTCCCATCGGAAGCTTAGAAGTTCCTGTCATTTATCTCGGCTCCGTAGACATTAGACGGCAGAAATACAAGGCGTCTACGTGAGGAAATGGGGACAGGGATGAGCAAAAGGGAACCACACGCAGCTAGACCCCAACCCATCAGAGTAGTCACCTCATTACCACCTGGGATCTAAGTGTGTGTCCAGGGGAAGAGAGGGGCCAGAGCCCCCACCAGGCACCTGGTCCTGGGACTCGGGGAGAGAGAAGGAGAGAAACCCCCGTCCCTCTCTGGGCATCAGCTCCCCACACCCCATGACTGGAACCAGCTCACCCCTGAGTCAGCCTCAGTGCCACTCAGCAGTTCCGGGCTCAGCAGGGAGGTGAGGGCTCCTCCCGGGGACCCTGGTGGAAGGGCCCCTCCAACCCACCCTCCTCCCTGCCGGTCACCTCATCTCTCCTCCCAGGGGCCTCAGCAGGAGGGGACACCAAGGGGAAGAGCTACCTGACACCCCGGGGGCAGGGCCAGCAGCTGGGTGAGAGAGAGGTTGGATCCTCAGTCCAGCCTCATGGCGGGGGGGGGGGGGGGGGGGAGCACTGGTGGCTCAGAAGCGAGGGTCCTGTGGGCTCCAGGGGGCCTACCTGCAAGTGACGCCAGGAGCAGCAGCAGCAGCAGCCAGGCCTCAGGCCCCTGCATGTCGGCTCCCAGGACCAGGGGCATTGGTCCCACGCAGAGCTGCCCCGCGTTCCTGAAGTGCCACCGGGCTCTCCCTGGGCGCCAGCTCTAGGGCTGGAGAGGGCACCGACCCCGGAGGCAGGAGGGTCACAGGTCCTTGGGCCCTGGCGCACCTGCCCGTCCCCTTGGGGCTCCCGCTAGGGGACCTGGCCCCGTTCTGCACCCAGCGGCAGCTGCCCCCCCAGAAGCCGTGATGGGAGCTCCGAGCTCCCCCAGAGCTGCTTCCCACGCCGTGGCCAACAGCTACGGCAGAAACTGGGAACCTGCTCAGCAGGTCAGAACAGGTGCGTCTGGGGGCCGGGCCTGGCACAGAGGCTTGCAGCCGCGCCCCCTGGCCGGGACTAATGGGCGCTGGGGAGGGAGGGGAGGACCTGGGGGTGGGATTCCACCCTCAGCTCCAGGCTTCACCTGGCAGCATGGAAGGGGCTGTAAAGAGAGAGGCGAGCAGAGGCCCCGGTGGCTAAGGAGAGAGGCACCGGCCGGAGGACCAGGGCAAGGCCCTGCGGGTGGGAAGGGACTGAGCATCCCACACCCTGCCAGCCGGCGGCCTCCCAGGCCCTGGCAGGTCCCGTCTCCTGGAGGGCTCAGCCCCGTCGGGGGAAGGCAGAACCAAGGACAGTGCCTGCCCACCCCACCCCCATCCTCCGAGGAGGAGCCAGGAGGGGAAAGGGTGCGGGACGCCTCTCTGGGTTTGCTGACACCTTTCCCCCTGAGGTAGGGAGCTCGTTCAGACCCGAAGAAGGAACTAAAGTGACCGCCTGGCCCACCCACATGTAGGAGATGCCGAGGGAGTGACCAAGGACTCGCCCCGGCCTCTCCGCGCCCCCCTTCTGGACCGGCCTGGATCCCCAGCGTGCACGCGTCCCATCCCATCATCGCCGGGTCATGTTGCCCACTTACCTCATAACACTGGACAAGACCCGCGTCTGGGCTCCGTCAGAGCCATCTCGATCTGAGCTGCCTCCTGCTCTGGCTCGAGAGGCCGGCCCTTCACTCGTCGTCTGTGCACCTCACCTCCTGGCTAAATTGTCAGCTTCAAGTCAAGTGGCACTGAAGCCTGATGTGTGCCCCGGAGTCAGCGAATGTGCAGCGAGGGGCAGGGTGGGGCTGGGCTGTGAGCGCCTTGGATTCAGGCTGCGTTACACCCTGGTCTGCGGTCCGTGCGGGACAGCCTCCCCTGTGCAGTGGGACTGAGTACATGTTTGTTCGTGGCATGAAGCCATGAGTGAAGGGGTGCCTGTGGCCCACCCTGGCTCTAGGTCCCACGCTCAGCAACGACCACGGCTGTGACCTCTTCTTCAAGGGCAGCAGGGGCCAGGCTGGATCCCAAACTCCCAGTTTCTCCCCACGGCCACTGGTGAGCCCCTTCCAGCCTCAGGGCTCAGGCCAAGGTGGGGTGAGGGCCAAGAGCAGCCCACCCTGACGCTGCAGGCGGTCGGGGCAGGGTGGGGGCGGGGAGGGAGGGCTCCGGTGTCGTGATGGTCCTTGTCTCACGTGGGCCCCACTGCCTGCCTTCTCCTTCCCACGGACTCACCCTCTGGGACCAGGGAGCCACAGGGAAACTGAGGCCTGGGTGGGAAAGCAGTCTGCTCACAGGCCGTACCCAGGCCTGTGTCTTGTCAGCTTCCGCGTTCGCCATATGCCCCCCAGTGCTGCCTGTCAGAGTCCCCCAGGTCCGTATGGAGCAATGGACGGAGGAGGCCTTCCAGGTGCTGGGAGGCCAGCTGGATGCTGAGGTGCCAGCTTAGGGAGGGCCTCTCTCTCCTTCACCTCGCCCGTCCTGGGTGTCCCCACCCATGCTGGATGCAGTGTCCCCTTCAGGCCCCTGCTCCCCTGTCCGGGACGAAGCCTACAGAGGCAGGTCCTAGGGTACGAGCTGCAAGGAGATGGCTGGGAGGATTCCCCAGACCAGGGCCTGGCCTCCTGGCTGTGCGCTCCCTTCCTCACGGAACCCCACGCCCCTCATGCCTCACTGCCTATCCTCCCCCACCGCATTCTGGGTCCTAAGAATGGGGGCAATTCAAGCCACGGCGGCATCATCATGAGCACATCTGAGCGGTGCCCCACATGCGTGCCTGGTGCCAGGCACCAGAGTCCCTTCCACCGGCAGGTCATGGGCACCACGCTGTGCCAGCCCAGGAGCCCTCCACCAGCAGAGACAGACACAGCGAGCAGAGCGCGCTCTGTGCCTCCATGTCCGGCCCCTCATGCCTGTGAGCTGCCCCATCCTCGGTGCCCATTGCCTGCAGGTGGCCCAGCACCGCCCGCCCGTAGCCCGTCTGTCCCTGTGGCAGCTCACGCCTGAGCCAAACCGGTTGGAGTGGGTTGTGCTGAAATTTTTGTTTGTGTCAATGGGACTTGGAAGTGAGTCAGGCAGGGCCAGGGATGGGCGGGGCGGGGGGGGGGGGGAGAGCGGAAGAGTGAGAGTGAGGGTCAGACTGAGTGGGCGGCGGGAGGCAGGCGCCAGGGGCTGGGAGGAGGGTTGGGGGCAGAGGAGAGTTTGTCTGTGGTGAGATCCCAGGTCAGAGGGCGTCAGAGGCGGGAGGACACTGGCTCTGGGAGAGATGGGGGGGGGGGGGGTAAGACGCCCGAGGGGAGCCAGCTTCGAGGTGTGGGCTGGGTCTGCGCCGCCCGCCCGTTCTGTCCTCTGCTTCTCCGCTGTTTCCCTTTCCCGTCGGCTCATTGCCTTGGTCTCTGCACTTTGTGCAGAAAGGTGTTGGGGTGCTGCTACTGTGGTGGGAGATCAGGGATGTAGGACTGGCTTCCATCCCCCAGGCCACCCCTCTCGCCCCTCCCTAGGACGCTCCTCGCCCGTGGAGGGTGAGGGGAGACCCCACACAGAACACAGGGTCTCCAGCCCCATCTCCACCCAGAAACACCGCTCCCCTTCGCCGCAGCGTCGCTGCCCGGGTTAGGATCGTCCTGTTTTCCACGGATTCCGTCTCCCGTGGCCACGTGCTGTGCTGCTCCGCCAGCCTGTCCCACAGGCCCATGGCCTATCCCTTCATGACAACCACACCTCCTGGTCGCCCAAGGCATCCCTCAGAGCTCGGCGGGGGGGGGGGGGGGGGGGGGGGTCCTACCCTGAAGCGGGAGAGCCACGGGGGTAGGAGGTGGCTGAGCACCATGCATGTTTGGGTCCTGCTTCTCGGTGGGTTGCTGTAGGCGGAGCCCCCATGTCACTCGCAGCCGTGCACCCCCACCTGTCGGGAAGCAGGGCCGAGGCTAAGACAGATGCCGAGAGTCTTTGTCCTGTGCCTCTGGGTGAGCTGGCACTTTTAGAAGGTTCTGGAAATAGGAGAAACAGGTCCTGGACAAGAGGAGGAGCCGCGTGGAACCGAGTCTTCCACATGGTGACAGCAACAGCCCCCCCACCCCCCGTGAGGAGAAGGTAAGAGCAAAGGGGGGTCGGGTTCTGTGAATCTGCTGACAGTGGATTCTGAGTGGCCCCAAGCTGTGCCCCCCTGCGCCCCGTCTCCATCCAGCCACACATCTGCCAGGCTCCTCCCAGGGAAGCCATCTGCTGGGCGTATGGGCGCAGCCTGCCACCCCGGGGCCATCTCTAGGCAGCAACAGGCCTCTAGCTTCTGGGCTGGGAGCTGCGGGACGGCTCCTTCCTGGCCGTCAGGCTCGCTCTGGCCACCACCCGCCTGGCCTCCCACGATGAAGCGTCACCCCAGCCCCAGCGCAGCTGCCGGCAGCAAATGAGACCCTGAGCAAGAAAGAGCCAGGACCAGGGCTGTGAGAGCCTGGCGGGCGGGAGCCAGGGCAAGCGGGGAGACCGGGAGACCGGACCACAGAGGACACAGGGGAGGTGGCTTTTGGAGGAACTGAGGGTTCCTGTCATTTGAGGGCAGATTTTCTTTTGAATTTACTGTCAGCCTCCCCTCATCTTTGTGAACCCCAATTCCTTCTCTCTCCCCACCAGCACCCACAGTCCCAGCCCTGAGCTCCCCCTCAAGCTCAGCAGGCAAGGCCGTGGCCTGGCCAGAGGCCCGCTCCCTGGCAGCCCTGGAAAGCTGGGGTCAGGTCTTCTGGTTCCTGGACACCCCAAGGCTCCGCGGCAGCAGGACTGGCTCTCGGCCTCGGAGACTTGGACCCTGACCTGCACCGGCTTTCAGTCCCAGAGGCGAGGCTGGGAGCCTTTGAGCTGTGGGGCAGCTGCGTGTTGGGCCTGTGGGAGCAGCAGGGGAGGAACCAGAAGACCCCTCCCAGATGTGCATCCCGCCTTCTCACGGGAGTCCCTGGGGACCTCCCTCCAGGCTCGCCCTCAAGACTGCTGGGCCCTCCGGCTCCTCCGCAATCTAGAGGAGCAGAAGGTCTGAGATCAAGAGATTTCCACGTGGCAATCAGCATGGCCAGAGAGACTGGCCGGAGGCTAAGGAAAGGGCAGAGGGACAAAGGGGCGGCCCTCTCCCCTTGCCAGCTGCTCCCTCCTAGGCCCAGGCCTCCACACTCTCTTCTGTGGGGGAATCCCACTCCCTGAAAAGGCCCCAAACATGGGAGCTCAGGTTTTCATCAGTAATCAATGCCCTACACTCGCCAGGCCGGCCGGGCTCAGTGGTTGAATGTCGACCTATGAACCAGGAGGTCACGGTTAGATTCCCAATCAGGGCACATACCCAGGTTGTAGGCTTGATCCTGGGCGTGTGTGGGCGGGGGGGGGGGGGGGGGGGGGGCGGGGAAGGACCTGCAGGAGGCAGCTGATCCATGATTCTCTCTCATCATTGACGTTTCTGTCTTTCTCTCCCTCCGCATGCCTGTACTCAGGGCCACACACTGGTCCAGTTCAGAGCGCAGCCAAGGGAAGAAGTGCGACCGCTCCTGGGAAGTTCCAAAGCTCTTGGCAGGGAAGTCGGAGGGTTGGTTCTGTTTAGCATCACAGAGAGAGAACAGGGCAGACCCAGAGAGAGAAACACGGAGGTGGAAATGGGAAAAGACAGATCTCAGGCACAGTGAGGCAGGGGGAGCCTAGAGACAGAGCGACTCAGAGAGATGCGCACACCAGCAACATCCGAACGCCGTCGTTCAAAGAGACACAGCAGCCAGGACAAGATAAAAACCAAGACAGAAAGACGTCAGGGGGATTTCCGGGTGTCTACCTGCCCCCTCTGGGGTCACTCAGGTACTTCCCTCTTCTGCCCTCAAGTTTTTATGTTTTTAAAAATACATTTTTAAATTGATTTCAGAGAAGAAGAGAAAGTTAGAAAAGTCAATGATGAGATAATCATTGATCCGCTGCCTCCTGCACGCCCCACTCTGGGGATGGAGCCTACAACTCAGGCATGTGCTCTGACCAGGAATTGCACCTTGACCTGCTGGTTCATGGGTCAATGCTCAACCACTGAGCCACGCCAGTCAGGTTCTGCCCTCAATTTTGACCACTCAGCAGTGACCCAATGATACTTTCTTACTCAAGATCACCAAGTCCCTCAAAAATTCAAGTTCTCTCCCACCCTCATCCCATCTCACCACCATTTTCTAATGCACCTGATTCCTCTCCCGCAAGTCCGCTCCTTCCAGCACCTCTCAGAGGAGTGTTCAACATCTGGCCCTTGCTGTCATTTCTCTGTCCTGTTTGTCCACGTCCTTATTCTGGCTGAGCTGAGAGTGGAGGCTGAAGGCGTGGGGCCAGGTGTCGGCTGGCCAGAATGAGTTGTGGGGGGGACATAGAAGGGTCCAGAACAACAGAGGAAGACCCACAGAAAGGGCAGGAGAGGTGGGGGAGCCTGGGAGACAAAGGCAGAAAGGATTTTGGAATCTCCAGAGTGTGACTGAGACCCGCGGGCCCCATTGTCGGCTGTGTGAACTGAACGGTGCTGAGAACCAGGGATGGGTCCGTCACAAAATGGGGTTAAGGCAAGAAGAAGCCAGACTCAGCGTTTTGTGAAGGTTTGAGACCAGGAGGCATAGATTTGGGCGTGGAGAGACCCAGACTACGTCTGAGAAGCTGGGCTGCAGGGAGCCTTGCTGCCAAAAAAGGTCAGTTTATAGGGTTGCGCTGGGGTTAGATTTTTAGGGTGACCTGCCCACCCCCACGCCTGGGTGTCATTAGCAGGGAAAGCAGGACCAGAGCGGGAGGAGCCTCGCTGCCCCTCTCCCAGTCCCACAGCCTTTCTCAGTGCTCTTCGGTTTGTCTCACTGGCAGGACCTTAGAGAAGCTGCCCTGGGGCGCAAAGGACGTGACACACACGTCCAGGCTGGCCTGTTTCTTTTCTTTTTCTTTTTTTCTTTTTTTTCAGACAGGAAGGGAGAGATAGAAACATCAATGATGAGAATCATTGATCGGCTGCCTCCTGCACACCCCCCAATGGGAATCGAGCCTGCAATCCGGGCATGTGCCCTGACCAGGAATCCAACCATGACCTCCTGGTTCATAGGTCGATGCTCAACCACTGAGCCATGCAGGCTGGGCCAGATTGGCTTGTTTCCCTTCTCTCTTTTTTCTTGGTCTTCTTTTTTTTTCCTGGATTTTTCCCCTGCCTCCTCTACTAGTAAAATATGAGCTCGGTTTCAGACTAACCAGGGAAGCAGCTGCAATGGCTGGATGACACCTCAAAGGAGGTGCAAAACCCAGGAGTGAGTGAGGTTTGGGCTCCTGGTCCACGTGAGAGGCCAGCTGTGCAGACTCAGAGTCAGAGGGACCTGGGAGAGGAGTGCAAGACCCCTTGGGTGGGGGAGTCCCTGTTCTGTCCAGGAGAGGCAGGAAGTGAGTCTGGCAGAAAGAACAGCCAAAGATTTAAGCCAAAGCAAGAGCCCCAAATGGGCATTATAAGCCCATAAAATTTAAGCAAAATGACCCCTCCTCCAAGCAGCTCCTCCCCTAAATCCTAGGACTGGGACAGAGCTGAAGCCAGCTGTTGGGAGCTCACCCAATCACAAACCTTAGGGAAAGACTGGCTTTCAGACTTTAGCCAGGACATTAGAAGTTAGGGATTTATTAGGGGCTTTAACATAAACTGGGAAAACAGGACCCTCCGTGTCAGAATCAGGGAAAGCAATAGTTGGGTGGGCAGAGACTCTCAAAGCTCTCATTGCGCCTCAGCTTTAAGGTATGCGTGGGGAAGGGGTCCCTGGAACCCTCAGGCTCTCCAGCTGCGCCTTCCTGACCATACCTGCCCCCCCACTGCCCCGATGGAGAGCAGGAGGGGCAAAGCCCTGCGGTGCTGCCAGACCCCAGGGCAGCCCTGGCCATGGCCTATGGATGGAAGTCCCGCTGCCGTGCAGAACCCGGGCACGGCCTGCTGCTCCCACCCAGCTGTGTCCGAGTACAAATCTGCCTGCATTTCCTGCTGTGGCTGAAACTAGTCGCTTGGACCTGGATCTGTCAGCTCTCCCCTGGGTCCTGGGGGGCGGGTGAGAAGCCGCTGGGGATCTGCCTGAATAAAAAGGAGACACCACGGAGGGCAGGAGAGTTCCCTCGAACCGCCCCACTTCGCCCCCAACCGGCTCCCAAGTCCGGGCAGCTCTGCCTGGATCGCATCAGGAGGAGCCCCTGCCCTTACCCAGGCCGATGTCCGCCCCCGCGTCCCTGCGTGCCAGTGACCTGGTCTCCAAGCCCGCGGGACCGCAGTCCTCAGACCGGGTCTGCTGCCCCCAGCGGCCGCGAGCCCCGCCCCGCCCCGCCCCGCCGGGCCGCCAGGAGGCGCCGCAGAGACACAGGTGCCCCGCTTCCGGGCGAGGCCAGCGCCGGGCCGCGGAGGGGTAGCCACCTCCCTGGATCTCGAGTCCCAGCGCACAGCACCGGCGCCCCGGTGACGACGCGGGCGGCGCTCCGCGCCCTGCGGCCTTCCCTTTGCGGCGGGTCGCGCGGCGGCGGTTGCTGGGCGACGCGGAGGGAGAGGCGCCCGCGGGAGGCTCGGGACCCCGGGGACCCCGTGGCCGGCCGCCCCTCTCGCTGGCCATGGCGGTGGCGCCTCCGGGCGGGGCGGGGGGCTCGCGCTGGACCTGGCGGCCGGTGGCCCGGGACGCGCTCCTGGCCCGGGCCTTCCATTCGTGCACCGAACTGCGGGGCCGGCTCTACCTGGTGGGGGGCCTGCTGGCTGGGGGCGCGGCCGAGCCGAGCGCCGACACGGTGGTCCTGGACCCGGCGGGGGCCCCGGCCGTGCGGGTGGGGGCGCGGGGCGGCCCGAGGCGCAGCCACCACGATGCGGCGGCGCTGGGCGGGCGCTGGCTCTGCGCCGTGGGCGGCTGGGACGGGGCGCGCCGCCTGGCCGCAGTGGCCGCCCTGGATGCGGAGCGCGGAGAGTGGGAGGCGTGGACGGCGGCCCCCGGCAGCTGCCCCCCTGCCGGCCTCAGCAGCCACACCTGCACGCGCCTCTCGGACCGAGAGCTGCGGGTGGCAGGCCGGGAGGGGGGGACGCGCACTCAGCGTCGCTATGGAAGCATCTACACGTTGCGGCTGGACCCCAGCGCCCGCACCTATTGGTATGGCCCCAGGCCCAAGTCCTGACCCCCCCTTCGTCCCGCTCGGCCGGTGTCGCCAGCCGTCCATCCACACCCTCCCCTGGCAGCCTCCTCCCCAGGCCGCTAGGAGGACCGAGCTCTGCCGACATGACCCTCCCCCTCATCTGCCCCAGGCCCCCTCCGACCTTTGGCAAAGGGGGTGGGGAGAAGGCAGGACAGCTCTTAGTTTCCGGAAACCCCGACTCGCTGGCCCACCTGGTGCACATCCTCAGCTACAGGGAAGAAAGCTGCCGCTCGGCCTCCCGCTCGGGGCACTGCGCCGCCCTGCTCCCGACCCCTGGGCCCCGCCCCGGCCACCAGCTGCTGCTCTTTGGAGGCTGCGACTCGGCTGAGCCGGAAGTGGCCGGGCACTGGGGTCATGGGAAGATTCAGGTATGGCGCACACCCTCCTTCGGGCGGAAGGCAGTGAGCACTGCGGCGCTCACACCCCTCCAGACAGACAGCCCTTCTTTCTCCCCGAGGAGGAAGCGCCTGCCGCCCCCCGTTTGACGGAGCAGCTAGCAAAGCTCGTGAGCAGTGGGCAAGGGTCCCGGCAGGGGCCTCGGGGCCTCCGGCACCATTCATGCTCGGTGGTTGGGCCCTTTGCTGTGCTGTTCGGTGGAGAAACTCTGACCAGAGCTAGAGACACCATCTGCAATGACCTCTACGTCTACGATACCCGTGAGAGCATTTAAGGACGGGTGAGGGGGAAGGTGGGAAGACAGGAGAACCTGAAGAGCATAGAATGGGGTAGAGTGATGGAGGAGGGAGAAGGAAGAATGAGTTGACAACTTCAAGGAACACACAGAATATTAAATTTTGAAGAGGCCCAATAATCAAGTGAGGAGGAAAAAAGGAGCCTTAGCCCCTGGGTGACCAAGTGCGACCACCCCAATAACCGCTTCCTCGCCTCCCCCCACAGGCAGGGCTCCTTCCCTGTGGTTCCACTTCCCCTGTGCAGACCGAGCGCTGAAACGCGTGGGCCATCGGACCTGCCTTTGCAATGACCAGCTGTACCTGGTTGGGGGTTTTGGGGAGGACGGCAGGACGGCCAGTCCACAAGTGTGCACCCTGGACCTCTTTCTCTAAAGAACGGTGCCAAGACACACTGCCATGCCGCTGTTTTATTGTAAACTCAAAGCATTATCACCAGAGCTACCTGCCTCACGTCAAATGCTTATTAAATTTCCATCTAACAGTCAATGTTTGTCTCTGAATCTTTTGGGGTGAGGGCAGTAAGGAGACACATCTGCCCTGGTCAGTGTGCTCAATGGTTAGAGTGTTGGCCCAGCACACAAGGGTCGATTCCCGATCTGGGACACATACTTGGGTTGCAGTTTCCGTCCCCGCCCCAGTTGGGTCAAGTTAGGGAGGCAACCAATCCACGTCTGTCTCTCCTTCTCCCCCGCCCCCCTTTTCCTTTCACTAAGAAAACCAATGGGAAAAAAATACCCTTAGGTGAGAATTAACAAAAAATAAAAGAAGTAGAGACATCTTTGTATGCAAGGCAAAGGATAAAGCATGGGCCCTCCCGATACTGTGGGCCATTCGCCTGATGGAACCAAGGCCACCACAACATGCTCTTCCCGCCCCATGCAAACCATCCCTCACTGGGAAGAAAGCTTCAGGCTAGAGAGAAGCATTCTGACTAAAACATTTAATTAACAAAAAATATTATAATAGCAGAGAAAGTAACAACAATAACGAGAAATTAGAGTGGGAGTCAGGTAGGAAAAAATGCAGAAGCCTTGGTCCCTAGGAGACCAACACTCCGGCTGAGCTGGCCTTAGCCCCAGCTCCTTCTGAGTTTTCCTTGGCTGGCTTCTCGTCCTCGCCCATGAGCCGAATATTGTGCTTTTCCCGGAATTCATTTAGTTCTTTTCCCTTTGCCTGAAGCTGCTGTGTCAGTGTCTCAATGATCTTCTGAATCTAGAAAGCAAGGGACAGACGTTACATAAGGACTGCCATCCCCACCCTGGTGTGGGGTAGGGAAGTGAAGAAGACACGACACCTCCAACCTCGCCTTTAACCAGGTAGGAAAGTAGAGTCAGACACTAAAATTACTCCTTCTCAAACACGAGGTTTCATAAACCTAGTGTACACAAGGATCCCATGGACTGCTTTTTCCCCCCTAATATATTACTATTGATTTCAGAGAGGAAGAGACATAGAAACATCAATGATGAGAGGGAATCATTGATTGGCTGCCTCTTGCACGCCCCCCAATGGGGACCGAGCCCGAAACCCAGGCATGTGCCCTTGACCGGAATTGAACCCAGGACCCTTCAGTCCGCAGGCCGACGCTCTATCCACTGAGCAAAACCGGCTAGGACGACTGCTTATTTTTAAAATGCCACTTCATGGGCCCCAGCTCCAAAGGCTCTGAACCAGGACAGGGTCTAGGAAGCTGCATTTCAAATTAGTCCTCCAGGTGATTTGGACGCAGGTATCCATGGAAACACTGCTGTCACCACCTCTTTTCCCCAAATCAGCCAGGTCACAGAGCCCAGGGATAGAGGCATACAGCCTCTTGTCTAGGAGTTGAACCTAGTGCAACGTAAAGAGCAGAGGCTAAGAGGCTACTCAGACTTCCTGCCATCTCTCCCCTGATCCCTGCCCCCTCCTCTTCCCTATCCCTCGGTTGCCCAGAGCTCTCCTCAGAGCCTCTAGCTCACCTGCTCCTTGTTGTTCTCCAAGGCAGGCAGCACCTCTTTGACAGTGCGCTCCACCAGCACCCCGCCGACCATGCGGAAGCACTTGCGGGTCTCATCTACCTCCTTCAGTGTATCAATCACTAGGCTGGGGCAGGACAACAGACAGGGTCTCAGAATGCAGGCCCTGCTACTGCAGCCCTCCCTACAGAAACGTGCACCCAACTCCCCAGCTGCCTCACCTGTGCTCATTCAACTCCATTTCCAGCTCGGCTGCCTTGGATGCTAGGCCCCGCTGTTCCTGCCGAAGGCGGTTGAAGCCAGCAATCACCTGAGGTGAGAGACATAGGAAGTGAGAGAGGAGGCAGTGAAAATGGCAGAGTCAAGACACAATAGATCATCACAGGCTTTACAAGATGCAGTGGGGGACACCTACCTCGGAAAGGGAGAAGACACATGTTTGCAATTTCTGAGGTCTGCCTAGAATTCCATCCACCCAACACTTACTGGTGCCTCCGTGTGGCACCTGCTGGCCCACCTTGCAGTAACAGCTGGTGAGGAGTTGCAACTAATATAGGGTGGGGTGCAAAGCTACTGGATCACCTACAGAGGAGTGTAGACTTGCAGGTAAAGGGGAGTCAGGAAAGGCATTGTAATGACTAGGTCCTGCCTGGGTCTGCCCAGCACCCCTCCCATTGGGGAACCGCCTCTCCTTAACACAGTGGGTTCTTGCGGGGAGGGGAGAGCACTAATCACAGGGTCTTGCTCCCTGACCACAGGGCAGTGACCTGTTCTGTGCTAGTTTCTTCACAGAATTAGATTCTGGGTAGAGATGAACAGGTACAGAAGTTAGAGCTAAGACACCTTGTTGTCCTTTGTGTGAACTAGTTATCTGACCTTTCTTTTTGGTGTTCAATTTTGTGAACTACCCCACCGTTCTTCTAAAATAATCCTTAAAACAAACAAACAAAAAAGCCTGGCCCCTGGGCTTAGTTGGTTCGAGTGTCATCCTGATGTGCCATGGTTGTGGGTTTGATCCCCAGTGGGGGCAAGTACGGGAGGCAACCAATGGATGTTTCTCCCCACCCCTCCCCCAAATCAATAAAAATATATCCTTGGGTGAGGATAAATATGTGAAATACACATTTCTTCCCTTTCCGTCTACACACACAAAACCATTAAGGAGGGGAAAGACCTCTCAAAGAATATACTCCAAAAGATTAAGAATAATTATCTCTTGCCCTGGCCGGTTAAGCTCAGTGGATAGAGTGTTGGCCTGTGGACTGAAGGGTCCCAGGTTTGATTCCGGCCAAGGGCACATGCCGGGGTTTCGAGCTCAATCCCCAGTAGGGACATGAGGGAGGCAGCCAATCAATGATTCTCTCTTATCATTGATGTTTCTGTCTCTCTCTCCCTCTTCCTTCCTCTCTGAAATCAATAAAGAAATATATATATATAAAAAAGAATAGTTATCTCTTGATAGCAAGATCATGGGTAATTTATTATTTTGTACTTTTTTCTGTGTTTTCTACATTTTCAATAGAATAATATATCCTGTGATTCCCTTACTATTTATATTAAAAAGTCCCAAATTGCCCTGCTCAGTGTGGCTCAGTGGTTGAGCATCGACCCATGGACCAAGAGGTCACAGTTCAGTTCCTGGCCAGGGCACAGGCCCGGGTTGTGGTCTTGACCCCCAGTATCAGATGTGCAGGGGGCAGCTGATCAATGTTGCTCTCTCATCGGTGTTTCACTCTCTCACTCCCTCTCTCTTCCTGTCTCTAAAAGTAATAAAATGTATATATACATTTTTAAAGTCCCAAATAATTTGCCATGAAGAGCTTCAACTTACTTTCAGGATATCTCCTAAATTATACTTGATGATTTAATTAAACTAACAGCCAGCGCATTTCCGGAAGATCTATGCTTTCCCTCTCTCTCCTTTTCCTACCCTATTTCCATTGCCCCCTTCAAGTCTATCCAGTCCTCAGGGTCAGCTCAAGTATCTGGTGTGATCACGGTGTAAGTGAAGAAAGAAAGTCTGACTCTAAAGTCCCTCAACTAAAAGCCCTGCTCTTCAAGCCACTGACTTTGGTAAGTTAACTAAAGCTTCTCAAACTCGACTGTCCTTACCCGTAAAAGAACAATACAGCTCACTGCAAATGGCAGTGAGTAACAGAAGGAAGTGCAGTGCCAGCACAGTGTGCGACTGCTTCCATCTTGTTTGTAAGGGACATATGTGGCTCAAAGTTGCAGCAACGACAGATCTTCTGTTTTTCATCCAGTGTTCTCTCTGGAACGCGAAGGCCAGAGAGTGCTAAGCAAGAACAGTCTAAAATTCAATTATCACAACCCCTCAGTGTCTTTCATGGGATTCTTTTTCTCCACCACTGTTTGCTTCTTTTTTCACTTTCTGTGCAAACCTTAGATGACTTTATGGCTTTGTCTGCCAGCCATGAGCTCTTAATTCTCTAACCTATAGCTCCAACTCAGATTTCTTTCTGTAACTCAAGATTTATAAATCTAAAATAAACTTATTTTCTCCCATTAACTTGTCCATCTTCCTATTGTCCCAATGGCACCAGCATCCATCAAAGACAGAAACCTGAGAACATCCTAGATTACTTTTATCCCTTTTTCTCCACATCCGAGTCTTGTAATCCAGTCCAAAATTTAAGTCTATCTGCATCCCAAGCATGTCAGGCAGTCTCATGCCTTTGTACTTTTTTAAAAAAAATTTATTGGGGTGACACTAGTCTACATGAACATATAGGTTTCATGTGTGGATTACTGTTTATAGGACCTTGTGCCCACCACCCGAAGTCACATGTTCTCCTGCCACCTCATATCAGGCCCCTTCTGCCCCCACCCCCGCCTCTGGCAGCCGCCTCACGCTGTGGCGTTCACGAGTTTGTTTCACGGTGTGTCCCGCATCGGAGTGACACCGCACGGTCCTCACTTCCTCTGCCTCCTTTCACTGCGCACGATGCTCGCAAGGCCCGCCGTGCCGCTGTGAGTGCGCCGTTTCCGCCTTCTCATGGCCACGTCTTCGTACTTTTAAATACACTGCTCACTCTACCTAGAAAACCCTCCACTTCCTTCTTTGCTTGACTAACTTTCTCATCTTTTAGAATTGAGCTGAAGGATTATCTCTTCTAGAACACAAAATAACTAGCATTTATTAAGCACATGCTATATTCCGGTCTCGCCTCATCAAAATACAGTGATGAGGTAGGTGCCATTAGGTTTTACCGGAGGGAAAGGCCGAGGGCAGTCACAGATAGTGAACAGTATGAACACCATTCAAGCACGAGCATGCCCGACTCCAGTGCACTTCCTGTGTCCTTGGCCACCTATGATACCACAGCGTCCCCTTCCCACCTGCTCCTGCCCCAATCCCATAACCTCATGCTTCTCTACCTGCCAGAAGAAGAGCTGTGTAAGTTTTCTATTTTCTTTATTGATTAAGGTATTACACATGTGTCCTTACCCCGCTCTTGCCCCCACCCCCACCCCGTCCACTGTAAATCTTTTTTTTTTTTAAATATATTTTATTGATTTTTTGCAGAGAGGAAGGGAGAGGGATAGAGAGTTAGAAACATCGATGAGAGAGAAACATCGACCAGCTGCCTCCTGCACATCTCCTACTGGGGATGTGCCCGCAACCCAGGTACATGCCCTTGACCGGAATCGAACCTGGGACCCTTGAGTCCACAGGCCGACGCTCTATCCACTGAGCCAAACCAGTCAGGGCCACTGTAAATCTTATGGCTTGGTTTGTCTTTTCTCAAATGAGTCTGTGAGCGAACTTGACAAGGTCTGTTTTATTGATGTTTCCTGCCACCCAGCAGAGTGTCTGGCACATGGTAGACCCTCAAAAAGTATTAGGACCCTCTCTTCCATTTCCCCCCACGTCTGAAACTCCCTCCCTCCTCAAACCTACAGCACTGCCAGCCCCTCTGCCTCCCGCGGACGGGCACTCTGATGCCGGGGACATTTAGGGAGCCCTCATGCCGATTCCTTTGCCGGAGTGACTGTCCACCTCTAGCCGGTAAAGGAATCTGAAATGAAAAGCGCTGCTGTGTAACTACGTTCTCCTTCCTCTTGCGTAGGTTTCTTCCCATCGGTTACACACCAGCATGGCTAGCAAACCGTGTGCCCAGCCGCAGGGCCTTCTGATTCACTGACAACATGTCTCCCCACGCCAGGCACTGGGGGAAATGCCAAGTCGGGTAGCAGAGGGATTCTGGTCTCTAAAGCAGTTCGGCCCAATAGTGGCCCCCGAATCAAAACACCAGGAAACACGCGCGTGAGCAAGTGTGTGCGTCCCGTGGCTCTGCAGCGCCTGCCCTTGTCCACTTAGCTCCTGGGCAGCAGCCCGCCCGCCGCCCGGCGCCGCGAGCTCGGGCCCGGCCACGCCTGTCGGGGTGCGGGGAAGCGGGGGAGTGAGCCCCGTCCCCGTCGGACTCGGGCCGGCTCGGAGCTCCCAGGGGCGTGGCTCTCCCCGCCCCGCCGCCCACTCGGCCCGCGGGCTCCGCGGCGGCTCCGGGGCCCTCCCTGCCCGGGCCGCGATGCGGGCCCTGCTCGCGCCTTCTCTGGGCCCGCGGGCCTCCGGCGCCCTCGGCGCTCCTCACCTGATCGGCCGACACTGCCCCCTTCCCCGTGCCGCTCCCGCTGCCTTTGCCGAGGCGACCGCTGCCCTCCGCCATCTTCGCCGCCTGCGGGGCTTCCGGCGCGCAGTGCAGCCCCGTGCGTCACTTCCGGCCTCGGGTCCCGCCCCCTCGCCTTGGCGCCTCCGCCTCCAGGCGGCTCTCCAGCGTGGATCCCGCGAGTGATCCTGGCGAAGCCTCCATGTAGGACCCGCTCCCTGTGCCGCCGGCCGCGGTGAATCCCACCGGCGGCGCTTCCGCGGGCACCAGAGCCACCGCCGGGGTGGGGGGGGCGGACGGCCGAGTGGAGGGCGCGGGCGCGGTCGGGGTGGGAGCGGACGGGCGGCCGCCTCGGGGGTTCCCGCCTCCGGGGTTCCGGGTGCGGATCGAGCTGTGCGGGTGCAGTCGAGAAGCGGGGAGGTGACTTGAGCTGCGGAGGCGCTGGCGGAGGACAGGGCCGCAGGTAACGCGAGGCTGCGGACCGTGGAGGTCTCCTCCGTGTCTCCCCGCAGGATCGCTCCCTGTCGCCCATATTAGAGTTTCGGAGACGGGTTTCGCCGGCCGGGCCCTCACCGAGCCTCAGTGTGAGGCTGCCTTAGGGAAGGGCTGGTGCGTGTCTCATCTTCCTCAGGCTCGGCGCCGTGGTCAGGCCTCACCACCTCCTGTCCCTGCTGCTCCCTGGACCGCGAATACCTCGACTCCCAGCGCTTTGTGCTCAGCCCAGGTAACGTGTTTGGTATCCTCAGTGCCTGACACTAGTCGATGCTCCATCAATGTTTGTGAAATGAATGGTGGTGGGACAGTGGGGTGCCTGTGGGAGCAGAAGCGGAGGGAAGCCCAGCCTTCCTGCCTCCCCATTGGAACCCCGTAGCATTGAACTTGCGTGTCCCCATGCTGGGGACTGAGTTCTGCCTGCACCATTCACAGGCCCAGAGCCATGGCTGTCTCCTCTTCCTCCTGGGAACTGCCCCTGGTGGCTGTGTGCCAGGTAACATCGACGCCAGACAAGCAGCAGAACTTTAAAGCTTGTGCTGAGCTGGTTCGAGAGGCTGCCAGACTGGGTGCTTGCCTGGCTTTCCTGCCTGAGGCTTTTGACTTCATTGCCCGGGACCCTGCAGAGACTCTGCGTCTGTCTGAGCCACTGGGCGGGAACCTTTTGGGAGAATATGCCCAGCTTGCCAGGTATCAGAAAGGGGGGATGGAGGGAGACAGGGAGAGGTCATTGCTTTGCTGGGCATTGTCTCTGGATTGCCAGATGTGAGGGTGGAGCCTTGGAAAGAGCGCAGTGTCCACTCCCCCAGGGAATGTGGACTCTGGCTGTCCTTGGGTGGTTTCCACGAACGCGGCCAAGACTGGGAGCAGACTCAGAAAATCTACAATTGTCATGTGCTTCTCAACAGCGAGGGTGAGACTTCACAGCTCTCTAGCTTGCCCCCTCCCAGGCTCTTCTCCCTAAACCAGGATTCTCCAGAATCGTGTCTTCTGTTTCCTCGGCCAAGGGCTCCTCCTCCGAAGGAGGCTTCTGGAGCACCAGCACCCCCTCTTCCTTCTCCCTCTTATCCTAGGGTCGGTAGTGACCACCTACAGGAAGACACATCTGTGTGACGTACAGGTCCCAGGGCAGGGGCCTATGCATGAAAGCAACTCCACCATGCCGGGGCCCAGCCTCACTACACCTGTCAGCACACCAGCAGGCAAGGTGGGAGCTGTGAAGGGGGAGGGAGAGGGACAAGAGGGAGGGGACAGGAATAGTGAGCACAGTAGGAGATAGAGAGCCTAAGGAGTAGGGTAGGGGTGACTAGATGACCTGACACACAGGACACTCATTTTATCCCAGGTTGGTCTGGCTATCTGCTATGACATGCGGTTCCCTGAACTCTCTCTGGCACTGGCTCAGGCTGGAGCGGAAATACTTACGTACCCTTCGGCTTTTGGAACTGTAACAGGCCCAGCCCACTGGGAGGTAAGAGGACCTCTTCAGAACATGCGGGCTTTCCTTTCACTTCATTCTCTTCCCTCGGCCCTGCCAGTTAGATTTTCTCCCCCTTCCCACCTAGTGGGAAAATTCATTCCCCAAATTACTGCCTCTCATATGTTAAGGAATAGTTAACATTTCTAGCCAATTACAGAATGGTCACAATGGGTCAGTTGGCCTGCTGCTTCCCCCCAGCCGCCACGCTTCTCCTCCCCAGGTGTTGCTGCGGGCCCGCGCCATTGAGACCCAGTGCTATGTCGTAGCTGCAGCACAGTGTGGATGCCACCACGAGAAGAGAGCGAGTTATGGCCACAGCATGGTGGTGGATCCCTGGGGAACAGTGGTGGCCCGCTGCTCTGAGGGACCAGGCCTCTGCCTTGCCCGGATTGACCTCAGTTACCTGCACCAGCTGCGCCAACATCTGCCCGTGTTCCAGCACCGCAGGCCTGATCTCTATGGCAATCTGGGTCACCCACTGTCTTAGGACTTTGGACTTCTGTGAGTTGAGACCCTCTGTGAGCTGGTGTTGCTGTTACTTTGAGGCAGGACCCAGGTGCACCTCCCCCTCACTTGGGGAACCTTGACTCTTGAAGGAATGTGTGCTTAGCTTCTTGGGAAAGAAGAAACTCACCTGAGCTCAGATTTCAGTTTCAAAATTGTGGAATTTCATATACTGTTTATTTCATGAAAACTAAAAACGCCGAGGGCTGAGCAACACTGGCATTGAAAGAAATAGAATCATAAAGTGTCTGGACATCTCCTTTGGGAGCTGAAAGGGGAGGTGGTGGCCGGCTGCAGTGAATTCCACCTGCGGTGCTTCCCTCCGCAGATGTACCCCTCCCTTTTCCTGGTCCAGCTGGACTTGGCTCCGGTTCTAAGCCTCCTTGGCTCATTCAACAAGCCTCCTACCCACATAAAAGTGCAACCCTCAGGGCATGTCCCAGCCCCATGCTCCTGCGGGGGGTGTAGGATGGGGAAGGACCTGTGATGCCCAAGCCAGAAGCAAGCAAAGGGGAAGGGCTGCGGGGCATCTTATTTTCAGTCACCAGAACAACTTGGAAGGGAGTGTCACACTCCCCTCCCCTTTCCAGGGGGGGGGGTTTGAACCTCGGCACTCCCCCTGTGCATGTGCACACACCACAGCTGGTGGGGCTGACCTAAGTCCTCTCCTATTTTCCCTTGAAGAGGGACAGATTTGGGGTGGGGGGATACCACGCAGAGGTTTCAGCAATGAAATGGAAGAAACGAGGCAGAGAGGAGCAGCACCAGAGGCCAGGAGAGAGTTGAAAGGGCCACAGTTTCTTTTTTAAAAAGTCTATAATTTGGGAGAGGGTGGTGATTAATTTCCAAAATACACTTCAGAGTCTCACCTTCCACACAACACAGCTCCCTTACTCACAGCCCTTTGGTTTTCAGACAAAATGTAAGAGCCTCATAAAGCCAGAAGCACTGACAGCCCTCAACGCACCCACACGCAGCGTTCACTGACGTCCCTTACAGACTGTCCCACAGACTTCGCTTCTCCCTACACCTCTGCCTCGCGGCTCAGTAGTAAAGGCAGCTGCAGACACACGGGGTGAGTGGAGAGGGAAACAGGGAAGCCCAGGCACATGGGTGTAGGGAGGGGTGGGAAACACCACTTCCATTTTCCTTTGTCTTTTCCTTAAGAAAAAAAAAAAAAAAAGGCAGGGGTGTGATTGGTTGGAAGGGGAGAGAAAAAACCCCAGAACAGTATGTACGCTCCAGAGGTGAGTGATGGGACCAGTCCCAGGAGGGAAGGTCAGGGCAAGGCCTGCAGCATCAAGTTCCTCAGGAGTTTCTGCCGGCCCAGCTCGTAGTCCTCCTCATCCACGTTCACCAGCAGCTTGATGGCTTCGTGGCCCACAGCCTGCTTGAGGGAGTCTGTGATGAAGACGCCTTTCAGTGCCTCTAGGAGCGAGCCATTGATGTAGTCGCGCCAGAATGCGTCGAGGTAGGTGAGCTCAGAGAACTTGATGTCACAGATGATGGAGCCCAGGTCCCGGGACTTGAGGATGGTGTTGGCCTGGTTAAAGCGCTCAAACTGGCGCTCAAGTGGGTCCTGCTTGTTGGAGAAAACGTTGCCCTGCAGAGCAGTCTCATGCTGGCAGTATTCAGCCCGAACCCGCAGTCTGATGTCTGTAGAAAAGAGAAGAGACGCAGAAGAGGTTGCCATGAGAGGATGAGTTTACGAGAAAGATGAAAAGAGCAGTAGAGTAGCAAAGTGGGAACATCACCTGACAGCTTCCCCTGCTCTTGTCCAGGACTACTTTTCTAGGTACCTCTGACCCTCCCTGAATGCAGGAGGTTCCCTTAAATAGGCCATGCCCAGGTCACATTATCCCACCACTCAAGTAGCACCTTGTTTCTGGGAGGTATTTTCCTGGTTAACAGGCAGTCATTTTCACACGCCACTCTGATACCATGACGTGGTTCCTCCTACAGCTACAGTAGGGACCCTCTCTCTGTTCTGGTGTTAACTACAGAGAGTTGACAAGCGCTCTGCCACAAAGACAGAACTCTCCCCCAGGGCCACCACTCAACCTCCCTCTGCAGCAGCACCAACGCGAGCCTGGCACTGCCGAGTGTTCCTCTGGGACCCCTGAGCTCACCACATGTCTGCTTTTCCTTAGGATCCGGTGTTGCTGACTTTCGGCGTTTTCGCTGGCTCCCAAGTGTGGCTCTCCCTCGAGCTGGCCTCTTGCTACACATCTGAGGGCCTGAAGTGGGGCAGCACACCACAGGATAGTGAGGAGGCACTGACGGGGAGGAAGGGGAGGAGACAGTAGGGTAAATGCTCAGACACTTCTCTTGGAAAGAATCATTTAGACTTAGCAGGAAACGCAGTATCCACAATATGACCTAGGACACAATGTGGCAACAGTCACAGGACCCAGGGAACACAATGCCTCACCTCATTTTTTTTTAATATATTTTTATTGATTTCAAAGAGGGAGAGGGATAGATAGAAACATCAATGAGAATCATTGATTGGCTACCTCCTGCATGCCCCCCACTGGGGGGGGGGGATTGCGCCGGCAACCTGGGCATGTGCCCTTGGTCAGAATCGAACCCAGGACCCTTCAGTCCACAGGCCGATGTTTTATCCACTGAGCCAAACCAGCCA